TGAAAAAAATGTCCCACTGACAACTTAAATAACTTTTGATCCAGTTAATATTTTTAGCTGATTTTTTTTTAAATAATAGTTATACGTTAGGTCTATAGCTATATCTCAATAATTAATTTTTTACATGTTATTAAAATATTAATTATTTTTAAATTTTAAATAAAATGTAAAAATAAATCTAAGATAGCTATTTTGCAGAGTAGAATTTAAGAAAAAACCCAGCACAGTGGGGTCGTGGCATAGTGGGGATGTTGCACAGTTAGGACCAGTAGAGATTTAATCTGACAGTGATTAAAATCACTATCATAAGAAACGTTTCGATGCAAATTTGTAAATAGTGTTTAATTTAAAAAAATTGATAGACAAAAGCAACATCAACTTCTATTTCCTTAATTATACCCAGATTAGTATTTCTTTTAATTATATATTATATAATTTTTAAAATTAATTGTTTTCAAATTATTATTGACATTGATTTTTAATATGTTAAAAGTAATCATTTTGAACCTTCTTTTTTTTGTCCTTTAAAGTGAAAGTTTTAATAGAACAAAAATGAATTTATTACCATAACTTTTAGCTCAACTTGCAAGTTTGAAATTGACATTATTAAATAGAAAAAAATGAAAATGTTAAGATTAATATGCAATCAGGAAATTTTATAATTATATTTACAGTACATTAATCAGAAAAGTTTGATTTTTATCGTAATAGATCACTTAAATAAAAATCATAGTAATCATTTCTAATTAACTTTGGATGTTTAAAAAGAATCTACAATGGAAATATTCAGAACATAATTAATTTTAATGATTTACTTATCTAAAAAAAACAAAAAAAAAAAGTTGTTAAAAAGATTTACTTAATTGACTGTATTATAAAATTTAATTATAATTGTAGAAATCCATCGTTAAATTCAGGTGAAACTAAAAATCATTTTTTTTTTAAACTTATGATTTATATAGCAACTTGTTACAAAATAATTTGGAATATTATAGACTGGTAGTAGCACACACAAATAGAGTTAAAAAATTAATAGTAATGGGATCCTTTATATTTATTGAAGTTATTGAATTTAAATGAGATAAATATCAAATGATTTGAATAGGATCAGGAGGGGTAATTGTGAATAGGGGTAATTGTAAATGAGGCTGGTATTCTAATAAAATTAATAAATTATAACCATCGAACTCGTTATAATTATTATTTAATATTTTTTCTCCCATCAATCATATTTATTACAGTATTTTAGAGGTTATGTCATTTGTATTATCATTTAGAAAAAGTGCACTGAAAAAACATTCATTTACATTTACTCCAATATCAAAGGGGTAATGGTAAATGTCTATGGTAATTGTAAATTACGCTTTTTTAGATTTGAAATTAAAAATTTACTAAAACTACATTAAAACTATATTTATTATGTCCACTAGTACATATGTATAATAATATAATAAATGTTTATGTAAGTAAACAGTCATAAATACAAGTTAAAAATCACTTTGATAGAATCATTTACAATTACCCCACCTGACCTATGCAATCAGGAAATTTTATAATTACTATTTACAGTACATTTATCAGAAAAGTTCGATTTTTTTTACATTTTTATTGTATTAGATCACTTAAATAAAAATCATAGTAATCATTTCTAATTAACTTTTGGTGTTTAAAAAAATTCTACAATGNTAATTTCTAATTAACTTTTGGAGTTAAAAAAAATTCTACAATGGAAATATTCAGAATTTAATTAATTTTAATGATTATATAACTAAAAAAACCAATAAAAAAAAATTTACTCAATTGAGCGTATTATAATATTTGAAAATAATTGTAAAAATCCATCGTTAAATTCAGGTNATAAAAAAAAATTTACTCAATTGAGCGTATTATAATATTTGAAAATAATTGTAAAAATCCATCGTTAAATTTAGGTGAAACTAAAAATCATTTTTTTTTAAATTTATGATTTATATAGCAACATATTACAAAAAAATTTGGAATGTTATAGACTGATAGTAGCACACACAAATAGAGATAAAAAATTAATAAATTACAAAGTAAAATTATTTACTTTTGTAGTTGAAAACTTTTAATAAAATAATAAAAATCTAATTCGACAATAAATACTTTAAGAATATTAGAAATTAATGATTTTAATTGTTTGTATGGAAAAAACTGGTTAAGCTACTTTTTATTTGAATAAGGAATATTTTTTCGATTTTCAAGAGTAATAACTTAAACTAAATACGAATTGTAATCATTTGACGTATCGTTGAAAAAAGTAGGTCTAGTGAGGGTTGGCAAAATAAATCGTAGCCACAAAAAAAACTACATAGTAAAATAATATTAACATGGATATAAATTTCATCTCACGAGGGGAGACTACAGTAATAGAATACTTTATATCAATTGAAGTTATTGAATCTAAATGAGATAAATATCAAATGATTTGAAAATTTTATTCTAACTAAAAAAAAAAAATGCAAAATATTAATTGCCACAGACAGATTTTAACCTCGTACTCTATGCATGAAAGACATATGTGATACCGATTCGGCAACTGTTCGTTGCTTTCGTCGCATGATAAAATTGGCTATTTAAGCTAACTCAAATTTAAAAATACTTTTTCGACTTTAAAAAAGTAAAAAAATTTAATAAGTTTAATTTCTTATGTCTTATGAACTTTATTCTATGTCAATTAAATTATATAATATTCATAAAAGTCAGTGTATACCCCTAATAAGATATTTTAAAATAAAATAAAATACAAAACCCAGGATTTTAACACAAAAATAGCGTTTTTTTAACTACGGCAGCCGTTTACATGCAGAAGATAAAGTGTCGGGACAATTTTTTTTTTTTCATTTTATAGCACATAAAATTAGCTTTAATTTGATATATGTTTAAAGGACGCAGTTTTTCCATAACATTTTCAAAAATTAAGTTGAAAAAGTTAGTTTTTGTTAAAAAGTTGCTATTTTAAATCCTCCCCCATGAGTAGATTAAGTGTTAGATTTTCAAAAAAATTATATCAAATGAAAGGGAAATATCTAAGGTTTTAGTTTAAAAAAAATTATATTGATTTGTTTATTTTTGAAAAAGTTATGGAAGTTTTAAGAAAAAAAAGACAAAATTTACCTATTTTTAAATTTGTAATTTTTTTGGATATTTCCCCCATTTGCGGGGAACGAGGGAAAATTTTAAATTTTTAAGGGTAAAGTCTTCAACTAGATACGATTTGTGATCTCTTGGCGTATTGTTGAAAGAAATCGGTCTAGTGAGAGCTGAGAAAAAACAGACATAAAAAAAAAAAAACACATCATGGTAAAATTAATACCTTCTCAACTTCGCATCGAAGCTAAAAATCAGTTAAAAATTTTAGCTGGATCAAAAGTTATTTAAGTTGTCAGTGAGTGCTGGGCCACCCTGTATACTATCCATAGATTCACTTCCATGTATTAATATAGCTAGATTTAGAAATTACCTGTATGTTTAAAAGATTCAGGATTTCAAGAATTATTTTAAAAGTTAAGTTGAATAAAATCTACTATTTATACGTTAATTTCAAATTTTGAACCCCCTTTATAATAGTCAAATTTTTATAAAAAATATGATTGATGTCAAGGGAATGTATAACGTATTTATAAAAAACTTGCATTGATTCATTCATTTAAAAAAAGTTATACCAATATGTAATTGAAAACATATTTTATAAAATCAAGAATTTTAAGAAAAAAAATGGCTTGTTTTTTAACTACGGTGTCCATTTGCATATAAATGAGGTATTGGTCAATTTTCTTTTTTTTAATGATAGTATATTATATATATTATCTTTAATTCAACAATGTTTAAAGAACACAGCATTTCTGGAGCATTTAAAAAGATAAATTTAAAACGTTAAATTTTCATGCAAAAGTTGCTATTTTTAATTTCGGTAGATAGATAAAAGATTACATTTTCAAAAATCATATACCAAATAAAAGAGAATTACCAAAGTCATTTATAAAAAAAAATTTTTTGATTCATTCTTTTCTCAAAAATATATAGCAGTTAATTAATATGTTTTAAAATATTAATATTAGCCAATTTCAAAAAAACACGTTTTTCCCCATTTACGGAAAATATTTTTTCAAAATTTAAGGGTTATGAATTCAACTAGATACCGCAATCGATTATTAGCACTTACCATTTTATTGTATTTATATTTTAATAATTATAATCTTTTTAATAAACATTCTTACGGGATATTATAGATACAAAACAGCAAGGCCCTCATAAAAAATAACTCAAATCATGAAATATGTTACATATATGTCCCTTTAAGTTTAATTGATTTACCAACAAGAAGCATCTTCTAATTAAATTTTAAGTACCTCCCTCAGAAATAAGTTTATAAAAGAGCGATTTTTGACTCATTCGACATCTTATTTTTCTAAAAATCTATTTATTACCGTCTTTGCATCTGACTGTTTCGCGATTATGCTCTAACTGACTTAGTGACTGTTTCAAACTTAATGTTTTTTTCTAATTTTCTCAGAAATTAAAAAGAAAATAATTATATTTTCTTTTTATTTAATTATTTTATTTATGTTATACATATTCAATAATTATTAAAACAATTTAACATTTTTTTAATAGATTGCATTGTTGTGTATTGTTCCAGTTATGAGTTTCCTTAATTCTTTGACTGGAGTATCTATTTAATTAATGCATTTGGATAATCTAACTAAGCATATTCATAGGTTGAAACTATCGGTAAAACAATAGTTCATGACGCGTCACTAGAGATTGACTCTCGTACGCTGTCGCGTTCTTTTCGGCAGCAGTGTAACCACTTTGTGTCTAACTAATCGAATCTCATATTGAATGCACAATAATTGTAAATTATTATTATTTATAATTAAATTATTTACATATTTTATTTAAACACATTGAAAATATAATGTTAATTAAATATATTTAAATAACAAGTGTAGAAAGAATTCTATGTGAAATAATATTTCAAGTTTAACCATTCTTACAAAAGTATGAAGTAACTAAATAGATTAATGTCAGTTCTTTTATTTTGGCATATATATTTATAAAAACGATTAAGCTAGCTAAAAAACAAGGCAAGAAATTATATTTCTAAGCAATTCATAATAAAATATTAAGGACTGATTTCAAATCAACTAGTATATTCTTTTCGAGATTAATAAAATTACATTGCAACTAGACTAATTCAAAAATATTATCGTTAAAACATTATTTGGTTGTCATCCTCTTTACAATCAAATACGTGCAATGTGAATGTTTCATTTGTGTTTACCAATTGTATAAATATCATTAATTCTGTTAATAAAGCTTGAATCCAACAATCAGACAGTCGCATTTTAAGTAAACCCACATTATTTCTTTCATAAAGTATAGCTGATAAAAAAAATCAATAGCCGTAAAATTTTGAATAGTATAGCTTTAGAAACTTTATTTGCTATGCATGTACACCTTCGCTTTAGTATATTCTCTTTATCATCTGGCCATATTTTATGTTTTGTTTATTTCTTATATTTTTTAAACTCCTGTATTTAAATGTATTATTATCCACTTCAAAGTCTAATTAGATTTATTTTATTTACAGTCCCAGTATTTACATATTTTCAAATCATAACACCTACCCAGCCATACTTCTTTCTATTTTATTACAATATTCACACCTCTTTTAATGTATGATAAAATCTACCATTGCTTCATTTTTTTTATTTTATAACAATACGATTTGTGATTTTTGTATGTATTGTTAAAAATTCTGTACAGTGAGAGCTGAAAAAAAATGGCAACAGACACAATAATTAATAATAATAAACACATAGTAAAATTAATATCCTTTCAGATCTAATATGGTTTAATTAAAAACGGCTCTGAAACCAATAAGTCTTAGACACATTTTATAATTGTATTATGAATTATGATCATTATATTTCACTTGTTTCAACTTGTTTTACATTTCATAAATTAATTAAATTTCTAATTATTTCTTTCAAAGCATCTATGTATTTTTTTTTTCACATTTTAAAATGTCTTTCTAAACTATAGTTGATAAAAAAACACCCGTTACAACTACAAAACGTGACTTGCAAAATTAATAATTATTGTTGTAAAATAACTTTTAGTATTGTAAATTTGTCTAAAAATTCAGATAAAAAATTTTTGTTGCACAAAAAATTTTACATTCGAAAGTCAACTTACTTTATTATTGGAAAACTAAACACCGTTTTGCTAAGACTCCGCCCAAAAAAAAACTCCAAAAACTCCGTCTTTCCGAATATGTCCCGTTAGAAAACACAGCTACGATAAGTGAAAAATATAGAATCAATATAACAAAAAATTATAGTTAAAGTCTAATTATTAATTTGAGTAAATTCAAAAAGAATAAACAATAAAATTCATTAGATATATGGTTTACATTTGTTGACTGAGATCTTTATAATATTTTAATAAAACAGTACATTTTAAGAGACCTTTGGTCAAATCATATATAATACAAGCAGTGAATAAAGAATTTAAATAAAATTAGAAAATTAGAAAAAGAAAATACATCTAATTTCGTACTTTTGATATCTTTAATTTTATTAATATTTTGCAATTTATTGATTACTTGAGTTTCTTCAGTTTTGTGTAGGGTGATTCATTATGAATAAGCCACTCAATTTCTTAAAAACTATTAAAAATATTTAATATCATAAAAAAAAAATTGTTTAATTCAAAAAACTAGAATAATCTGAATTTAAATCATTTGTTTGCACCCATTCAGTTATAAACTTTAATTTTCTTTAACAGGAACTACTATTATTAGTTTTATGAGATGATATGACAAAACATTTTTTTTTATTCATATAATTTTTTTATCCAATTAACAGTATGCGTTTGAAAATCGTTTAAAACTTTGATTTAAAATATAAATTCATCATTAATTTAGTTATCATAATACTGAAGTCAACAATAATCTGTTAAAATTATTATCGGTGTACTTTGTTAACTTATGTGGGAAATACGATAAAAGATATATTTACAAAAACTTGTTTATGTGACATCATAAAGAAATGACGTCACTGTATGATACACAAGAAACTATGAATTAAAAAATTGATTAAAAAATCACTAAACTTTTAAAAGCAATAACAGAAAAGTTCTTTATAGTATAAAAAAAATTATAAGAACAAAATATTGAAAACAATTTTTTTCTATCATATCATTAAACTAAAAATACGGGTTCCCAATAAAGAAAATTGATGTTTATATTTTTTAATCAAGAGAAGAGATGAAAAAAATCATATAATTACATGTTATTGTAAAGATTTTTAAATCAAACAATTTTTTCCTCTATGAGAGTTTAAAAATTTAGATTGTTTGCAAGTAAATAAGTACCATATCCTAAATGGCTTACTTTTTACATAATGCATAATTTCTTCCGCTAACCTAAGATATTTTTACTTTTTGGTATCAAATTATTAGATAAACAATACTCTGTAATAGAATCTCTGAGTTTTTATAAATTGCTGTTTGGCCTCGAGCTTTGTTAAATAATAACTTATAATTTGGAATAATGCATCTAAGAAGTGATTTTGAATGAAAATCATATTTTTTAAATAACCAAGCTAGATTTATTGCGTTGTTTATGCGTTACGCTAAATTTGCAACGACACCTGATGTTTTGCATGCAATCAAAACATATTTTTTTGGTTAAATAGTTCTTTATTATTTTCACATAAATCTAAATTGAAAAATATAAATAAAAACTAACAGTTAAAAGTTTTATAGCATTTCTATAATTATTAAAAAAAAATGATACATTCTCAAAAACTGAAACCAACCATAACATATACAATGAAGTGATTTAAAAAAAATTAATTTATATTAAAGTATAACTTAATTTAAAAAAATATATTGAAAAAAAATAGGGTATTATGTAAAGATTTTTCTTATTTTGGCAATTATAATTTTAAACTAGCTAACCTAGAGACTTCGCACCCTGATTGTAATTATCGAGTTATTGTATTTTATTAAATTTTCAAATCATAGGACGTAAATGAAACATTATTTATGGTGAATATTTAAAGTAATCGAGGAAAAAAATTAAGATTTTCAAAAATTTTTTAAAAAACCTAAAAAAATTTTCTTGGCATATTATTTTCAGAGAAATCAAATGGAAAACGTTAAAAAAACAGTTTATATAGGAACAATATACTCTAATAAAACGTTTAACGTTAAATGTTTCTATATGACGATATATGTGGTTGTATTTTGTCAGACATTTTTTTGCTTAAACGAAAACAATATCGCTTATTTTTACTTGTCACTGTCTGGCCGCTAAAAAAAAGGACTGTGGGAAGTTACATATACTAAGTTAAAATTATGTTTACTTATGTTTTTAAATTAAATTTTAAAAAAATATTATACGTTTTTTTACCAGTCCCCGTCATTAGAAGTAAAATTATTTTAATTCTATCAATGTTATAACCTATTGTATATAATACATTTAACAAAAAAAGGATTAACAAAAATGTTCTCATCGAAAAACTCCGAGAGGAGAAATTATTATTCAGCACAGAAAATATCGAAATATATTTAAAAAATTTTAAAATTATATTACATAAAAATTGTATGAATCTAATTGACAGGATATCTTATAATATAATAAAACATTGAAAATTTGCCTTGCTCGAAAAATTACTTAACGGCGTAAGATTTACATAATTTATTTTTTTAAATGAAAGTACTGAACAACGATATTCTAGGAAAATTATTTGTAAAGATGAAAAACAAATTTTTAACACACCGTGAACGTTTAAAAATTTTATCAAAAAAGCTCATTGCCGCCAGCGTTTTTTTATTTAAATCCACATATTTTATGTTAGTGTATGTACTTTTCATTATTAACGTGGCATTTTAAGATTATTTTTAAGGAAACTTAAGTTTTCTTTTATCTATCTGTTGTTTGGAACAATAATTATTAGATTATTATGAAGTATTATTGTGAATACACCTAAGTATTTTGTAGACATATTGTTTTTTTAATTATTATTTATTTTACAAGTGGTAATCATTTTCTGGTAATCTGCTTTTGAAGTTACTTTTTTTACACAACACATATCGTGTCCGGTGTAACCAGATACTCTTACCGAAATACTGGCCTATTTCTTAGGACAACCTAACGGACCGAATTCGCGTGAGGGCCTGTAGGGTACCATTTCAAGGGTGGATCCCCATCTAGCCTAGTAAACTTAAATTTATTTTAAATTTTTTGTCCTTTTATTTAAGTTGAGAAAAACTGCTTTGAAATTTTTAATTAAATTAAATTGTACTTTTTTCTACCGAAAATGTGTTAAATGTTTGACTCATCAGTTACACTTATGTCTTCGATGCTTAGGATACGAGGATCGAATACCGTCCTTTATAGTAAATTTTTTACTTATTTATTTTAAACTGAATAAATATTCAAAATTTTTTCGATTTTTATCTCATTTAGATTGAATAACTTTTTGAATATTAAGGAAAATATCATTTATTTGTTTAATATTATTATTTTCTATAAGCTTTTATAAAATTGTTCTATTTTGTATTAACAGTATGTAATTAACATGTGCTACCATAGTTTCGAATGTTTTTAATTCAAAACAAATACTTTCATTACTTTTAAGTCTACTTTAAAGTGTATTTATATGATAGATTTGAAACTGAATACCATAAATCTTAAAAAAGATAAAAAATACAAGGAGCTTAAAAAGAAGTAACAGTTATTCTGACATAACTGGTAATGCAACATTACAGTGCTTGGCTAGTGGCAAAAATTATCCTATTGGAGAGACAGAGGTAGATTTTTTCTTTAGGAAATAAACTCAATTTAAGTGTTAAGATGAACTTATGAAAAATAATATCTATATTAACTTTAAGCCATCTTAATTTTGTTTTATATTTTACAATATACTTTATTTTTCTTTAAAATGGTTAAATTGATATATTATAACTCTTCAGTTTGTTACTGGACGTTCTCTTGCCTGTTCATTTGTAATTGAAGAAAAATCTATTTCACGATGACATTGTTTTATAAATAAATCCAATGGCCAATATCTTATTTCTCACAATGTAAGACTTAAAATTTTTATTGCATGTTTATATAAATTTAGCTATCAAAGAAAATAATTAATTCTAAGTTGATCAACAATATCTGTACTGCAGGGAACAGGTAATGAAACTTATGTAAATTGTGTGCAAATTCCTAATAACCAAAATGATTATCAAGTTTTAAATCATGGAGATGTTATTTCCTTTGCAGATGGGAGTGGAAGTTATAAATATCTGTACAGATTTGTTTTACAAACATATACAGATATAAAATTGAAGTAAGATTATTCTTAAGACATTCATATTCAAAAAATTTTTTTCCGCAGCATAAACTCGCTAATAATGAATTAACAAAAAAGAATTTAGATTGCCAAAATACTTTAAAAATACAACAAGGTGATTATATAAGCATATATATTGTTATTAACTTTATTTAATTTTACACCTTTTTAAGCAAAGTCGCATGATTTTCTTAGTATATAACATGAAATATACTGTGTCTTAATCTGGACTTATTTACCTGTATAAAATATATAAGTGAATAAGCTATGAACTCCATTTATTTATTTTTTGGATGAAGTTCACGTAATGGGGTATACATTAATTTTGGGCTTATATATTACTATTGTATTAAATTGAACATTAGAAACATTGGTAACAATATCATGTCCATATGGTCATTGATTATCAAGTAATTATCAAAAGCAGTTACATATAAACATACATTTTTTTATATTATAACAATTACAATTTAAATCTCTAAGAAAAATATAATTTATAATATATTGTCATGTGTGGTCTTAATTGATTTTTATAAATATTTTAGAAACATCTACATCACGTTTTAAAAATAAATAAATCTTATTCCTTTTATTAAATATAATTTTGATAAGAAAAAATATTAATTAAAAAATAAAACACCTATGGATTTAAGACATTTTAGAAAAAATTAATTTATCTTATTTTTCGTAAACTTCCAATTCTATTAAGGCTAATGTTAAATTACATTAAAAAGAGGTATTTATCAAATTATCATATTTGTAATTCTATTTACTAGATAAAATTTTTAAGTTAATTTTTGTTAAGTCATTTAATAGCTTCAACATACTTTAATTATTATCATATTTTTTTTTGAGAAGTTAATTTTTTTGTTTGAATTTTTTTTCTAGATCAAATATCAAAAATTGAAGAAACAATCAAAGAAAAAGTTTATAGTGTTCTAGTAGTGATAGTAAATATCTGAAAACTTTTTGAACTTTCTAGTTCTAGAGTTGTAAATAAAATTTCTGAAAAGTAAAGCTAAAATATTTTAATTAAAAAAATAATTTCTGATGAAAATTTTTTTCTTATTAGTTAAATAATTATTGTCAATATATTATTATTTTATAATTTAGTAATTTTTTTATCCAAAATTTAAATAAATTTTTAAATTTTGTTTTTGATAAATTAGCTTCTAAGAGACTGAAAAAAAATCACATACTTCATAATTATACCAACAAAATTATTTTATTTTAGAACTTGGGTTTGAAGTTTAAATAAAACATATTTTATCTCAAAATGTTAATTCTAGAAAACTTGAATTTTACGCATCCATAAATTAGATTAAAAAAATGATTTTAAATATCTCATTATCATTGGGAAATAAATAAAATTTAGTCGTAAATTGTGAAAATGAATATTTAATATAAAATTTAATATGTAAATTTGTTTTTTTTTTTTAAGCGTGTGTAATTAATTGCAGCCATACATTTTGTGAAATTTGTTTAAATACTTGGTTGAAAAAAAGTGAAGTGTGTCCTCTTTGTCGAACTTTAGTTCAAACCAAAACTCTTTGTCTATCTGTGGATAACTTTATTACTAATATTTGTAATCTTCTTGGGAATGCAATAAAAGAACATCGGGAAAAAGTACAACAAGAAAATAAGTATATTTGAACATTTATTAACTTATATTTATTGTTAAAACTATTTTTAGAATTGACAGTTAATGCCCCACGAGTAGAGTATGGACCACAAACTGCTAGAAGAGGTTGTAGATGAGGTATAACTCAACGTCAAAATACACAACCTGCACATGTTCAATAAGAAATAGTGCAAAAAATTCATGAAGTTATGTTTTGATAAATACCTGAATTTTTGACTAATGTAATACATTTTAAACTTTCCAAAAGAAAAATTACTTTTTACTCTTTCATATTTTTAGAAAAATGAACAAAATATAATTAAATAATTATAATTATTCATGTGAATTTTGTAAATAATCTCACCTATTGTGTTTTAAATTTTAATTAAAAGATATTTGATACTGTTGTGTACGAGGCAGCTAGACCGTAGGAAGGTTAGTTGTGCACCGCACTAGAATGCCGTTTTACCTTAAGCCTGTTTAAATAACGTTATTATTGATGCGGGAGTGGGTCACTTAGGAGATGACGGCTAACTATACATCCAATAAGTAAACGAGAGTAGACAATAATTAAATAACAAATAATCACATACATTAGAAATTCCTCAGAGAGTATCTTAAATTTTAAGGGGTAACGGGAGGGCTTTAAATACTAGTGGCCGGCGAAGCGGCATAAAAGAAATAGTTAATCTCAATTAAAACAAACAATAAATAACATTAAAAATAATATAAAACTCAGCTGTATAGATGACGTTGTTGATGGTGATGAGTGGACTGTATGAGATCTTGTGGTAATGGTGTCGAACATCTGAGTATGACGAGTCAAAGTGTAAATCCAGGCACGTAATAGCAAATGAGAACAGACTACGGCAATGATAATGTTTAGTGATGGTCAGGGCCCAATCACTAGTGGTGTGGAAGGGCACGTAAACTTTGAGCACAAGGGTGCAATAAACAAATAAAAGAATAATGGCGAACAATTTACTATTCAAGCGAAGGCGCTTGCAACAGAAAAAGAGTGACACAAAAAACAATTGACTGACTAACTTACGACAATGAACTGTACACGGATGACAACCGACACGGAGGTCATCGATTTGCCGTGATGGGTGGGCAAGGGGGTGAGTAAAGTAAGATGCTAGTGATCAGCTGTCCCACGAAATAATATAATCAATGATCTTTGTAACAACTGGTCAACTAGATCCTTCTAAAGGCGTTCTGTACCATACAGATACCAAGCAAAATGATAGGTACTTTTTTAACAACTATGAGCACAATAACATATTATTTAATGTTTTTAATACAAATATCAATAAGCATAAGTATTTTAATTATATTTTACATGAACTCTATTAAATAATAAAATAAAACCTTGAGAGCTAGAGCTATTGGTTGGTACGTAAGGATTTTGTTCACCACCGGGTTCCTACTAAAACGGTTAGCCCATATGACTAATAATAACAATAACAATAAATTTCAATGATAGATTTCTAACCATAAAAAAAAGAAAGATTACCATTCATATAATTAATATGTTTTTTTTTTTTTGTATGATATGATATTTAAATTCAATCGGACGTTCGCAAAATACAAATGTAATGACATTGAACAATAAAATAATTTTACATACAATGAAAAGATATACTCCAAGCAAGTCAATCCACGGATTCAACGATTCGACGCACATTGGGACAATGAGCTTCAAAAGTTGGCATTAAATCATGAAGCAAAAAAATATATTCCTAAAATTAATATTATTTTTATTTTTGTCCATCAGATATAGAAAGAGTCATTTACATAATATTAACATAGGTATTTATTTATTTTAAAGACATTTTAACAGAAATAGCTATTCAATTTATTAATAAAAGAAAAATGTATTATTCTAAGTTTTAAGTTTAAAATTAGTCATGGTATTCGTCATCATTATCGTCATCACAATCATTGTTATCATCATCGTCATCGTTATCATCATCATCATCACTATCTTTGACATATTGAAGTATTGCATTAGTAATGTAAGTGCTCCAATTGGCATTAATTGTGTTTTTTTTCTTTTACTTAAAATTCCTAGATCTGAACTTAATAAAAACAAATTTAATATATCTAAATTAGTTTTTTCACGACAACATTTCCTTGAGTTATGCTCCCTAATGATGAAGCAGGATTATTAATGGTAATAAATCAAACGCTCACTTAAATTAATTTTGTTTGATTAATGTAATAAATATTATATTTAACAAAAATTAAATAAAATTTACAACATATTTGCTCCTTAATTTTATTTATAACTTAAATGACAATATTTAAATACAAGTATAACTGAGAGCGCGTCGCTGATGGTTCAGCGGTGGAACGTAGACTGAATAGATTTATAATACAAGATACATTGCTGACCAACTAAACAAAGATAAAATTACAATATTATAGTGTGACTCGCGCTAACACTAGAATTGCTTTGCATTTCTAGCAAAGGATAGTGGGGTCGGAAGCAAGTTAATACGGAAAAAGTGCAACCCCATCGAACACAGTAAACCCAACAAATTCAAACTCACGTGAAACCCAGAAAAGAAATTCCAAAAGCAAAATGGAATCGGGAGCAAGTGATTACGAAAAAAAGTGCAACCCCACCCAACAACAAATTCAAACCCGTCCGCTATTCTAGCAGAGGCTGCAAAAGCGAAGTTGGATCGAGATGATTTCGGAAAGGAAGTCCAAACGTTTCGAACGTACGCCTCGCTACGGAAACCAAGGATTTTCTCCGCGATCTAGAGAAGGGGCGGCAAAAGCCGGTTATCAAGTAGGTCACAGATTACGGAAAGGGGTATCCGGCTGTACCGGATACGTTGCGTTGAACAATAACAGGAGAAATCGGTAGCACGCCCAACGCGTCAGTTAAAAAGTAAGGTTTACGGGGATAAATACACACGGTAATGATAACGGTCAACCGCATTCTTGAAAAAGGCATTGGCGGCAGTATGTCATTTGCACGACGGGCATGTGACAAGGTCACTTGTATCGAATAGGTAATAGAAGATAACGAAGGGGAATTTAGGATTACGGCGCGCCAATCGGGTTGTTCGTGGAGGGAAATATACAGAATTAGAACACTCACTAAAATCCATTAATATATTATATTGAAGTACAGTATTCGAAATTAAAGTACGTTGAATGTATTTAATAGAGTAGGCAAAAACGAATATACAAGTATTCACTAAATAAATAAATATATTTAAACTTGTAAATTTGAAAATAATACAATAGTGAATTGTTTGTCATTCGAACAAAACGAATACGAATCGAAAATTCAATGTATAATAATTTACTAAGAGAGTCGCCGTGTACGATAAATAATATTGTAAACATAGGATATTAGTTTCTTTTAAAAATAAAAAAATAAACATTTCTTTATTAATTAATGTTTCTTTATTGTCTCGATCACACACATAAAAAAATTTCGTTAATATAGAAGTATTCCAAGTACTACATTACTTGGAATACAAATTGATATAATTATCATTAGAAAAATACGGTTTAATGAGAGACTCAAACGTAAACCGATACAATAATATTGGTAAAGGAATTACGTTGTAAATTAAATAAGAAATAAATGTTTTCGATGAACTCCGAGAGCGGACTGCACGTAGTAATCGTGATGATCCTCCGTTGTCGAATGACAATATCTTATGGAATCGAGGTTTGACACGCTATCTGAAAAGTAAACAATATAAATGAAAATAAAATCCAAGATAACAACTAACGTAAGCTTACAGTACCATTTTGGAGGAACGGCGAACAGTAAGGGAGGGCAAGCATAGGCTAAAAGAAAACCAGCAGCACAGAACTATCAACACATCGTGAGTACAAAAGAAGTGAAAATATTGTAGATTTACCAAAGGCCGTGCACTATCTAAAATTTACAAATCACATTAATGAATACAGTCGCTATTATAATAGAGGAGAAAAAAAGAAGATTTAAACATTTCATTTGTCATACGATTATCAATTACACATTTTAATAAATAATTACGTCGTTGCCATTATACTTTCATCAGTAAAGATATTCATATAAACTACAATTGCTGCTTATGTAATAAGATGAACTCCATTAAACACAATTCGATAAATAATCGCATAACTGAATATAAATAAATATACACGTACAAAAAAATCAAAAACATTTGGATCTTATCAGCCGATGCAGTACATATTTCATTGTAACCAACAATAAATAAAATACCGACCGACCTAATAATTAAAGCAGGCAAAATAATTAAATTTATTTCAAATAAAATAAGTCAAAATCAGTTAGCTGTGTAATACAATTATTATGAATTAGAGCCAGCACTCTTCGGGTCGGTTGGCCGCTAATCAATCACAGTCAACCGGGCAAAACAGATGCACAGACTGAAAATTAAGTCAAATCAATTAATACTGCCATTACCATAATAATAATAAAATATCTACAATATAAAGTATATAAGTGTAAAAATATATTTATATATATGTGTGTATATACAGGGTGATTTTTTTATCATAACCCACTCAATTACTTACAGAATAATAATAATTTAAACATTTTTTTTTATTATTATCTTTAGTTACACATTATTCTTGAATTTTTAACTATGTAATACTTTTTAAGTTCATCCCTTATGCCTTGGAGGGGGGTCAACTTTGTTTTTTTAAATGGTAACACATATTTTTAATTTAATAAAATGTTTGAGTTTTTAATTTAATAGTAAATGGCATTTGAATTTTTAATATAACTTTATTAGCTTATTAGATATAAACATTTAAAGTTTCAAAATTTTGAGTTAATATACATGTATAATACACATGGGATTGTAAATACAGGTAGCTAATTGGATTTTTATGACATTGCTGTCTCAGTCACGGATTGTTTATTATCAATTATGATTATCAATAGATATACTTTCTGTATTGTCAGTTAGTGTATTTATATACTCATAACAATGTGCCTTACTACAATTGATAATAACAATGCTGTGTACCTGCTAATATCGATGTTATAAAAAACCAATTAGCTACCTATATTTGTAATCCCTTGTGTATTATACCTGTATATTAATTCAAAAATTTGAAACTTTAAATGATTATATCTAATAAACGAATTAAGTTATATTAAAAATTCAAATGCCATTTACTATTAAATTAAAAACTCAAACATTTTATTAAATTAAAAATATGTGTTACCATTTAAAAAAACAAAGTTGACCCCCTTCCAAGGCATAAGGGATGAACTTAAAAAGTATTACATAGTTAAAAATTCAAGAATAATGTGTAACTAAAAATAATGAAAAAAAAAAAATGTTTAAATTATTATTATTCTGTAAGTAATTGAGTGGGTTATGATAAAAAAATCACCCTGTATATTAGGGTGGTCCTTATTTTTCCACTTAGGAAATTCCTTGGTCTCACCCCCCAAATTTGTTTATATACATGTAAAAACGAACCAAAAAAAATTTCACTTTAATCAGACAAGTTTAACCCATGCCTACTCGGGTTGAAAATTGGACAATAGGGGTAGTTTTCTAGTATTTTGTACAGAAGTGAGGAATCATAGAAAAAAAAATTGTAAAATATAAATTGTTGACAATTTTATGGACTATAAGTTTAATTCTTATACATTTTTTTTAAACTTATTAGTTTTCGAGCAAAATTTAAAATTATACCATATTTTATCGATTTGCCCAAATTGGAATATTTACGAATACTACATTATATTTGACAAACATTTAGAGATATGAATACATCTTTTATACAAAAATCGTTTATTATTTAATTATTAACAAATTTAGCACAAAACCATGGTGTGGGCTAAGCACCCCCCCCAAAAAAAATTATATATACACAGTTGAAAAAAAATTGCTGATGTTACAATTTTATAAATTATGCTAATTGTTTTTCTCAGTTTCAAAATTCTTTACATCATAATAAAGTTGATTTTTTGCTGTCGGGATACTTATTTTTATAATCCTTGACAATTTGTAATAAATACTGTTTTTGATTTTCATCATTGATTAAAATTCTGTTGTACTCTTTTATAAGTTATACAGTGTAAAAAAAAATATTGATTAATTCGATATATCAAACAGTTATAACAACATTTATGTATACTGGGGTGACTGATTATAATATATACAAAAATAAATCACAAAAAGAGTATAAAATAAATTGTAATATACTGTATTACACATGGACTGAAAAGTCTCAAAGAAAAAATGTAATTTATTTTTTTTATGACTAATATTACGTGAGAATGTATCAAAATAAAGGTGATTTAATAAAATGTAGTCGACACACAAGGCGTAGGTTCGATAAGTGATGGCACACTAATCACAGGAAACTAAAAGAATTGATTTGACAAAATAGTAATCGATGAGTGTGATCGTCGATGATGTCGACCGTTGAGATGAGTTTAAAAAGGTTCGAACGGAACGCCGCGTTTTGTGAGATGTCACGAACATGACTTGTATTTGCGGTGGTCGTCACTTTTCATATTAAAAATATGAAAAATGATTCTATGACAAATTTTGTTGACAGTAAATTTTATAATGATTAATTTTGAATTTATTTGAAAATTATATTATAAAAAATGATAATCAAAAACAATATTTTGTAAAACGATAATAGTCACACTAAAATAGATAAATAAATATATTTAATAAAATTTGTAATTTATTTTATAAATGTTGAACTAATTGGATTCAATCAAATTTAATTTAATTACGATTAACATTCATACAGGTTTAAAATTTGTTTTTGTGTTTCTCCTATGCGTCTATTTTATAATTATTGTGCTGTTAATAAGAATCATTGCTTCTATACACGTGTGTTAAGCACAAAATGATATTAACAAGATTTGTTTATAGTGTACAACAACAATATTATGTTTTCGTACATGTAATGAATATTGTGTTACAATTTTTAATCACATTTTAGTAATTAATTTAATTGCACGCCTAAACTTTTTAAGGTTATTATGATAATTACATGCCCTGAGTGTTTGGTTAAGTTCTTTTAGTATTTTATGCAAGAACTATTGTCACCCTACCTTAATTTTATGTATAATTTTTTTATTGCTAAAGCGTATCCTGACAGAGTTGATGATAAAATTATTACTATTAACAAACAATACGCATTAAGTGCATACTTATTATTAGACATTTATTTAATGTTTACTGAAATAGCAGTAAAAATTCTCAAAAAAATAAGCGTTTACACAGTTGATGTTACAATAAAATAGTATTGCGTATAAATTAATTTTAAATACAGTAAATGACTTAGCTCTGGACGATCAGATCCAAAGACAATCATTAAATTTGCATGTGACGTGATGTCTGTTTAGTTGCCTACACACAACTCCGTGATATCATTAAATATATTTCAATACTTGTTTTTATCGATTCCCACGGAGAAAACAAAACAAATTACTCGAATTGCGTTAAACAAAATCACTTATTATTTTACAAGTTATTTTTCGTATTTATCATTTACTTGAATTAGTATAATTATTAATACATTTTTCTAACAATTATATATACAAGGAATACATAAGATATTATTAATAAAGGTGTGATTAGATGGGAAACCAGATGAAATAACATATGAGACTTAAATTTCAGTTTAGTTATCAAATATTGGGAATTTCAATTTTTTTTTTAAGATAAGGCATTACAATTTAAAATGATTTAAATGATAAGTATTCATGTAGCATAATACTTACAATTAAAATAAAATACTGTATTCAACATTTAGAAAAAAAAATAAAAAATTAGTTGTTTCGAATCAAAACTTAAAACGAGTCCGATGTGTATTAACTATCATTAAGTTGTTTTCAAATAGATAAGTACTGTGGCGGCTGATCGCGGGAGTTAGTAGGTAATTACCCCTGTAATGCTCTGAATATCCTAATCCAATTTGTAAAATTGATTTTATCTTTTGGTACGAGCAGTTTTTTGCAAAAAACTAGTTCTGATAACATTTAGTTTAAAACAGTTCCTATATCACTTCACCTGCTAGTCCTATCAATAATGAGACAAATTTTAGTAAAAGATTCTCGAAGTTCATATTACAGAAATTATGTCAAATTATATTTTTATGACAAGATTTAAGTAAAAGAAAAAACTATAAATGACACAATTTGATTTTGTACCTGAATATGATATGTGGTGTAGTTTTTAATATAGACCGAATAATTTAGCGTGTAGTTTTACTTACCACTCATTCAGTGGGAATTCGTAGATGTACCGATTCCGTTTGCCAGCTTCCCTCTGTTGTCTTCCGCCCTACTTTACGTGACAATCCTCAGGTAGATCATAGACCGGTATGTGTACAATGTTATGCTATAACTGACCAAAATCGAAACGTAAGTACAAAACCGCTAACATAATCACAGTGGGGTACAGTATAAAATCTGAGCGCTGGAAGTGAGTGAAAGTGAAATCTCTTTCGCGTCTCGCAGTGATCGCACCTCATCAACGTTATCGCTCCGTATCATAAACAGGTAATATACTAGACACTTTATTAATTCAAAAATAAATATTACATTTTTGACATATATAAATAAAAATGTCCGATTATTCATCACAGGTATACTGTCAAATAGTCTTTTTCAAACAATCTTATATTTTTTTAACCAAAAACAAGAAAAACGAAAAATTTTCAAGAATATTTCTAACGTTTTTTAATGGCCATGCTATAGAACTGCAGAGTATTGTCGTAGCTCGAACAGATTTTTGAAAGATTAACTGAAATATTTCCTCCTTAAAATACTTCTTTTTTTTATAGGTGCTAAAACTATTTTAAACTTTCTAAATGTTTTTATTTATACCTAAACAATAGTGCTTATTAAAACTTATTAGTCAAATAAAAGTTATCAAAATAAATTTTTGTTTATTTTTAATTTAAAAAATTATTACCCCTTTAAATACTATAATTTTTTACAGTGTCGTACTTAGGAGGGGACAATGTTTTCATATTATCAGATCCTTAAAAATACCTACATTTGGGTAGAATGTGGAGAGAAATTAAAAAGTTTTTTTTTGTGTAAAATTTGCCCAAGAATAAATAAGATACGCCACTGTTTTTTAATATTGTTTATTTATAAAACAAAATTTTTACAATTTTTTTCCTATAAAAATTGTTGGAATTTATAAATAAACGATGTGTTTTTATTGTTATTTGATCTCTTGAAGAAAACTTTGCACGTGAAAATATTTGTTTTGTGTAACAAACAGGCAGAGAAGATGATATAACATGTTACACAATATAATGTCCGAGCAAGCTAAGGTACACTTAAGATCGAGGCAGAACGAAAGAGAATGACCGGTTTGATTGCTTCCGATAGGCGAAAGCAGTTGAAAGTCCCACACACTTCTACATACTATTGCATCATAGCCCAAATTATACACGATCATAATGGTATATTCCATACGTAATTGTAAAACAACGATTAAAATAGTTGTATAATATTCTGTAAGGTTATCGTAGTGTTTTTTTTTTTTTAACGGTTCTCTACTTTTTAATTCACGGTCAAACATTCACTTGTAATATGTTATAATTTTGTTCTGCCTTAATTAAAAACGTAATAGTCACAGATGTTTACAAAATTCCTTGAAAATGCGGAAACAAGAATTATATTTAGAAAACCTAATTAGTTATAAGATAAAGATTTTTCTTAAATAGTAAACATTCAACATTATTATGATATTTGGGTTATTTTATGCACTCCGGTAAATATCCTTGAATTGTTTATGTATTAAATCAATATTTTATTTACAGAATGTGGATCCTCGCTCTTGTGCTTTTTAGCGTTATTGTTGCGCTACTCTCCTACATGGATATGAGAAAGCCGAAAAACTACCCACCTGGTAAAATCTTCTTCTCTAACCATCATTATTATTTATGTTTTATATTTAACATATCAACTTTGTATGTCAATAGGACCAAAATGGCTACCAGTACTAGGAAGTGCACTTACTGTAGCTTCTCTCCGCAAGCAAACCGGATACCTCTATAGGGCTACTATTTGTTTAGCTGAGAACTATGGACCTATCGTAGGTTTAAAAGTAGGCAAAGACCGACAGGTTGTATGCTGTGGCTATAACGCTATCAAAGAAATGTTGACTAAAGATGAATTTGACGGTCGTCCACAAGGACCATTTTATGAAACAAGAACTTGGGGTACTCGAAGAGGTAATAGAATAAAAAATAGACGACTAATGTTGAAATTCTTACAAATTATTTATTTAAAAAAATGTAATTTAAATATGTTACAGGTCTTTTGTTAACTGACGAAGATTTTTGGGTTGAACAACGTCGGTTTGTGTTGCGTCATTTGCGTGAATTTGGTTTTGGGAAGAGAACCATGGCCGAGTTAGTTCAAGAAGAAGCTTCAGAACTTGTAGAAACTTTTAGAGCAAAAATCGCTCAATCCAAAGACGGAAAAGGTGAAATATTCGCCATGAGAGATGCATTCAGTGTTGGTGTACTTAACACACTATGGTCTATGATGGCTAGCAAAAGATATGACGCTGAAGACATTGAACTCAAAAACATGCAAAATTTACTCACTGACTTGTTCGCTAATATCGATATGGTTGGTGCATTGTTCAGCCAATTCCCATTCCTAAGGTATGTAGCCCCGGAAGCTTCCGGGTATACATCGTTTGTTGATATCCACCAACGTGTCTGGAAGTTCCTCCGAAAAGAGTTAGACGAACACAAAGAAACGTTTGTTTTAAACCAACCACGTGATCTTATGGACGTTTATCTACAAATGTTGCATTCTGAGGACAAAAAGGACAGCTATTCGGGTAAATTATATATTATGTTACCTTATTAATAATAGACTATTCTTATTATTAATTTTATTTAATTTTTTTTAGAGTCTCAGCTCTTAGCCATCTGCATGGACATGTTTATGGCCGGTTCGGAAACGACCAGCAAGTCCCTTGGATTCGGGTTCCTTTACTTACTTCTAAATCCAGAAGTACAGAAAAAAGCCCAAGAAGAAATTGATAGGGTAGTAGGACGCGATCGATTGCCTACTCTCAACGATCGACCAAAGTAAAACTGATCATTGACCTTTAAAGTCGATTTGATTTTTTAATTGTTTAATTTTATTTCAGCATGCCTTATTTGGAATCTCTAGTATTGGAATCTGTCCGCGTATTCATGGGCCGTACTTTTAGTATTCCACATAGAGCACTCAAAGATACCACGTTACAAGGCTATCACATTCCTAAAGTAAGTTATTCTACAAGAATGGCCAAAAATGAGTGTGGTGGGAGATTGAAGAGCTAAAAACTTAGAAGAATTATACAGGGTGTTCAGTAAGTCAGGAAACGGGTTTCTATTGTTCTCATTGTTTGTAACAATGAGAACAATAGAAACCCGTTTCCTGACTTACTGAACACCCTGTATAAAATGTAATGAAAAATACTTAAGGGGAAGGAAAAGTGTAATTTAACTCTCTTCTCAAAAAAGATAGCCTACCCTTCTACATATATTAATCTATAATCTATATAAAATTCATCGTAACACTATTATTAATAATTAAAGGACACTATGGTAATTGCCAATTTTGCTGCATTGCTCAACGATGATGCTGTGTGGGACAAACCAGAAAAATTTGAACCTGAAAGATTTATTGGTGTCGATGGTAAAGTTGTTATACCTGATGAATACTTGCCTTTTGGATACGGTAGGTCACCCTATTATAAATCATCAGTATTTAGCTCATTAATAATAATTTTTTCAGGTAAACATCGTTGCATGGGTCAAACTCTTGCCAGATCGAACATATTTTTGTTTTCCGCATGTCTTTTGCAAAACTTTGATTTTTGTGTACCACCCGATCAAAGTCCACCTAGTACACTTGGAGTAGATGGAGTGACACCTTCCCCTGGAGAATATGATGCTTATGTTAAATTACGTTCGAGATAACAAAAATCAAAATGTTATCATCCATTATAATTTAACATAATGACTATTTTATCATTTAGCTAAAAATATTGTACATTTTTGGATGTTTACCTAAAATGTACAGTATAGTTAATGACTATATAAAGATTTTTGTACGTGTAATATTAATTTGATAATAATACGTCGTTGTTTTATGTCATAATCATGAATATTAGGTTAATAATAATAATTATTAAACATAAATTAGTCTGATAAAGTTTCCTGGAATATTGAACAAGTTAAATTTGTGATTTTGACATAAAAATGACTGTGAAAATGACTGATGGATTTTGTTGCCAAATTGATCAAATCCAAAAATTATAATTAAATATTTTTATTTAATAAAAATAATTTTTAATTAATATATTTTTTTTTATTTATTACTCCAACTAATAACTCACACTTCCTAATATTACGAAACTAATCTGCTTATTACAAGTTTATTACAAGTTTATTGCAATTTTGCAAATGTATTATATAAGAGTAACTGATTATAATATTCATGTTATGAGACAAGTATTTAATAGAGAAAAAATACAGTATTAAAATAGTGCAAATAATAAATAATTTTAATACTAATGGTTTAAATAAAGATAACCTAACATCAATAGTAATAAATTTAAATCTAAGTCATTTTAGTCTTAAAAAAATATAAAATAATATATATAATAGTAATAAAAATATAACATTTTTATAAATAATATTAATAATAGCATAGTAAAGAGCGGAGCAAGTTGACGCTCGAGGCAAAATGATCTCTTTAGATTTAAAAGAATGTATTTAATAACATTTGTGATTTTTTTATGGAAATATTTAAAAATATATTAACTTAACAAATTTTTACGTTTGTTTTTAATAACACTTTCTCGTGAAAGCGATATAATATTGTTGATTTATGACGTAAGATTTTCACATGAGCATAAATAAATAAAAGAATTTTTTTTTTAAATCATTACGAATAAAAAGTATTTTAAAATTTAAGTTTTATTCAAACTAAGGGAACACTAGGAAAGTTTCAAATAAAAATGAAATGGGAAAAGTTGGATTTTTTACAAACAATAAATATGTTTGTTTTAAATCGCACTTGCACCTTTTTTGCGAGAACGATATAATATAATTGTTTTACGGTGTATGATTTTAACTGGAACGTGAATAATTTTTTTATTATTATCGAAATGTATTAATAAAAAACATTTAAGAATAGATTCAAAAACGGTTCTGACGAAGAAAATAAAGTTCCAAGAACCTATCCATAACCACAAATTATTTATTTTAAAAAACTTTTTAAAGAACCATAAAACCGGTTCTTTTAAAAGTTCATAAAATCAGTTGTTAACTATGTCAATATACAAGTCTATATGACTCATGCGTTATCGTACTAAAATATTATGTTATTATCACGATAATATTAAGCGGTAAAAATCATAATAGTATCATTAAAGCACACGATTAATCAGCTATTTCATGAGGTAACCATATTTATATAAAAAATTAATAAGTAATCAAATATTATATAATGATAATATTATATTTGGGTGTTATTTAATGATAATTTCGAAAAAATGATGTCGGTAACAGGAATATTTTTGAAAATACTCTTCTGTAGATTAATATGGAGAAATATAAAATTGAAAAAATCTAATAAATTCTTTAAGAATATTTAAACATACGAAAATTTGTTTAAAAGTATTTTATAATTACACATTTTACTTGGTTTATAGTCGAATGATTATAAAAATATAAAAAGTTTTCTAAAAACCATTAAGTTAAAAAATGATTCTATTACTACATACATTTTTTTTTAATTCTATGTAAATATATAATATTCTATGGCTTCTAAATATTTTTAAATTTTTATGACTTCTCTTTTTAATTGAATTTTTATGGTTTCTGAATTTTGTTATCTTTCTATGCCTTCTAAATTTTATCGTATTTCTATGGCTTCTTTATTTTTTTTAATTTCTATTGCTTCTTAATGTGTGTTGTATTTCTAAGGATTCTTAAAATTTTTGAAAAAATTTGTAAAGTTATCATTGAATAGTTTGGATTAAATTGAATAAATTTGATTACTTCTAAAAATGAAGTGTTTTTGAATTAGACAACATAAGATATTTAAAAAAGATTAAACCTATAATAGAACCAGAATTAATTAAATAATATATTATTAAAATCAACTGATTTTAGCTTCAATGGTAGGCTGAGAAGGTATTAATTTTACTATGACGTGTTTCTTTTCTTTTTTTTTGTTTTTTTTTTTTATTTCTGTTACCACTTTTTTCAGTTATCATCGAACCGATTTCTTTCAACGATACGTCAAAAGACCACAAATCGTATTTAATCAAAGATCTTTATCTTCAAAAATTGAAAAAATTTCTCTCGTTCCCCGTAAATGGGAGAGATCTCCAAAAAAATTACAAATTTTAAATCGCTAATTTTCGACATTTTCGACATTTTTTTTACTTAAAACTACTTTAACTTTTTCAAAAATGACCAAATCAATATAATTTTATTTATAAATCATTAAACTTGTAATCAGGATATAAATAAGGAAATAGGAGATTATGTAGCTTTTGGAATAATCGATTAATTTCATAAAATTAAACACTATCTACAGATTTACATCGAAGCATTTTTTATGATAGTGATGTTAATCATTGTCAGATATTATCTATACTGAATCACACTATGTCACGTCCCCATTGTGCCGCGATCCTACTGTGCTTTTTTTTTTTATTTTAAGAACCTCACTAAAACCAGTTTCTAAAAATCTCAAAAGCTCTAACCCCTAATTGTAATAGCATGAATACCATATAAACGTCATGAATAAAGAATATTTTAAATTTTAAATCTTATTCATCAATTAGGAGAATACTAGCGGTAATTTTTAAATAAAAATTAAATGGAAAAAATTTATTTGTTTTCGTTATTTATGCCTATATGCAATATCTATATACATATATAAAATAATTTGCTTATAATTAATTGAACAATCTCAGTTACTGAAGAAAAAACTAAAAACTAATCAGTAGCACACATTAAAAGGTTATCAAGTCGATTTCGTCTTAAAATATATTTTTTTTTTTTCAAATTACTCGGTGAATCAATTAATAATTGTTTAATACATTTGAAATTTCTTATGGGCTATCGTTTGTGACTCTTTCTTAATTTGAGAAATTCATTACATGTAATGAATTACACATTGTATGATTATTTTTTTAAATTATTATCTAAATTAATCTAAGGTTTGTTAACTTGCTCCATTAAAAAATCATCTATAACTTGAGGCAAGATAACGATTTTGACTTATTAAAGTTAATAAATAATTCTTTAAATAATGAATATTAACTAATTATAATATAATTAAATATTAACTAATTGGTCTCAATATATTAAAAAATATTTTATCAAGATTCAATTTTTTTTTTAAAATGCTATTTTTAATGAATCTAATTAAAACCTACGTTTGTCATTTTGCCTCACCCACCCCAAATAATGATAAAATTATTATCATTACCATTAAGAATATATTCTTATTATTTTGTGTATAATAGATAAAAAATCAATCAACTACCTATTGAAGTATTATATCAATAAATAAAAAACCTTATACGACTTATAATTGTTCAATGAAGAATGGTTTTTTATTTCATTTTTAAATGATTTTCTAGTTTCAATAATTTTTTTAAATAGATTATTAACTCTAAACTTTTATTAAAATCAAAGGTAATTATAGCAAATATACTCAGGTAAAAAAGAAAAATACAAACTGTATTTTAAAATTATCAAAGTTCAGATGCAATCTCTAAAATAAAATAATATCTAGCGTTAATCTTATGTTTTTATTATTTTTTTATTTTAACAATGTATTTTAAAATTAAAAAAAAAGCTATTTTTCATCTACTTGAGATATGAACAATTATTATTCATTAAAAAAGTTATAAAATAATTTAAAAACAAAAATTATTTATAACTGCTTGACTAAATTCTATAAAATTATATATTTTTTGTTTTACTTTAGTTTTACATATTATCAATAAATAATATTAATAAAACTATTTATAATAATCATTAAGATTATTTTATAAAAAAATTATATTTTTATACTCTATTAACTTTTGTTTAAATATGACCAATTGAGTTACTCATCATATTTGATAAATTTATAAAAAATATTTTTTAAATGATATTAGGTAAAACATTTTTGAAAACCAAACTCGTTTAATAAACCAAAAACTATTTAATTTTATATAATTATTTTCGAAATTTTTACTGAATTTTTATGTATAGATTAATTTTATCCACAATTTATTGAAAAATCAAATTCAAAAGTACATAAATTAAAAGTGACGACAAGGTGGTTTATTAATACATGAACTGACACTATTACTAAAGCAATAATATGATATTTTAATGTATATCATTACTGTTATAGCTGTAATATTAAAAAAATCTTGTTATGGTATTATAGCTATAGCAGTAATATTATTAATACTAAAAATGATTGAGAAAATTCGATATTTTTATTTCGAAAAATACAAATAATAATAAATTTTTTACTGAATACATATTTTTCTCAATTTATAAATTATAACAAAAAATGTAATGTTTATCCTTCATACCTTATAAGAGTGTTAACTTTAATTTTTTAAATAAAACACATATTTAACTAGCTTTTTTAATTGATAATCATCTAATAAAGAAATGAATTAGTTGATAACAACTTTAAGACTGGTATATGTAGAGTAGGGAAAATATCAGGGAGCTATCTAGTCATAAAAATAGTAGCACCCACTCTTTACTTTCAATCATAATTTTAAATTGTTAATAACTTCCAAAATACTGATCTAAAAGTTGTTATATATGTTGTCATTTGAAATATTAAAATTGACACTCTCATAGGGTATAAGGAAAGAACAATAAACATTTTTTATGATTCATATATTGAGAAAAACATTGAACTACAATATATCAATAAAACATTATCATTAATCCATTAATTAAGTAATTCATAATAAATGAATCACCTTATGATTGTCTGTTATTGTATTAATAATATAATTATTTAAATCATTTTAGATATCTATTTTAGTAATAAAGTCTTATACAATCTACATTTTTTTAACTTTAAGTAAAAATATTGTTCAGTATGAGTCTACCTATCATAAAAATAATTTTTAAATTTAACCCATGAGTATTTGTAAGCTACCAAGAAAAAATAACTTGTAGATATAGTATGATATATGTATCATGATATATGTAGATATATGAATAGTATGATAATAGAAATTTTAAATTACCAAATCCTAAATTAAATTATTAATATTTATAATAACAAAAATCAATGTAATTATTGTAAATATTGTTTAATTTGGCCAATAACCTTAACATTCAAGGTCTTTTGCTACAATAAAAATATATAAATCTAGTTATTTATAATTGTGCAAACTTAATAATATAAATTAATCAGTTTAGTACAATAATATAACTAAATACATATCTACAAAAAAAAAAAAACAATTTAAAGAACAATTCTTGTAATTATTTATCTAGGTACAGCATAGGGTTGTTCTTCCACTGTCTCGTGATACTTTATATAACTTTCCTTGTGGGTAAAATCTTTTTTATCTTCTTGCCAACCTCTTTCAAGAGCTTTATCATAATCAAATCTTTCTTTAGTTTTTCCATAAAGTTCATCTATTTCATTCAGTAAATCTCTAAAATATAAAAAGTTTATATAATTACTATGATATAGTTTTTATAAATGTTTAAATTAGAGAAAACGAGTTAATTCTCACATTAACATTTCTCTGCTTTGACAAATGTCAACAGGTAGCACAAAATGCATAATGAGAATATACACATGAATTCATTTATTTAAAAATTTTTAATTTAATACACCACAGTATAAAGGGTAAATAATTTACATGTTATGGATCCAAATTATAATAAAATTTCAATTTATTACAATAAAAATATTAATCTTGATAAACTATCAGTTATAAACATACATAATATAAAATATATTTTTAATGTCTTGTAACCCCAAATTATAATATAAAATTTTATAAAGTATGTAAATAATGCAGCTAAAAAATATATATGTGTGCGTGTGTAAAATAAACATGCAAACTAAGGATTCTCATTTTAGACTACACTAGTTCATTTGAGATTATTTTGTTCATCTAAATAACTTATCTTATTAAACTGATATTTTAAATCTATTAATAAAAAAAAATTTTAAAATATGCTTAACATTAAAAAATGTTCACTTATATCTTGTTAGCTCTTTATTTTATATTTTAAAGGATTTACTATTATCTAAAATTTATTATCTATCAGATTAATTTTTCATGAAAAATTTAATGGCACAAGACCCACAAATATCACATGAGTTTTATTTTACTGTTATAATTATTTTATAAAAGATTTTAAATAAAATTACATTATGTTGTAAATCCAAAATTAATTTGATAGAAATTCAAACCTTAACTAAAAAGCAATGAAACTAACCTGTAGGTAACCTGTCCATATCGAGTAGCAGTTACTTTTTTATTTGTAATAGGATCAGTTATATCACCTAACGGATACACAACTCTGAGTACTTTGTGAGTTATTAAAGTAGTAAGTTTTTCAGCAAGCTCTTGTATAAGAACTACATCACCTGTTTTACAAACCTTTTCTGGATCATGAGCATAAAATACTTCATCTTTATTAAAATACTAAAAATAAATATATACTATTATAATGTGTTATCATAGTTTTTTAATAATTTAATTACCATTAACAGATTTTGGTCTAGTTCAAGCTTTTTTACAACAATTTTGGAAGTATTTTCTTTGACACATGGAGCACATCTACCCAACAGGATGATTCCTCGAGCGACCCCTGCCAAACTCATTGCTAATAAAATATTTGAATAGCAACTTCAATTATTACTATAAATATGATAAATATATATTTTTTTTTAAATTGCAAATTAACAAATAAATTGCATTAAGTACCTAGTTATAAATTTATTTGATAATAATATGATAAACAAAGGTCCTTATTATTCCACTAGATCGCGCAAGTAAACTATATTTTCCATAGTAAACTGTGTGAAAAGTGTGATTTTAAAATGATTTAATTAAGAGAATGATTGGTCGATAACAACTTTTGGGCTAGTATTTTAGAAGTTATTGACATTTCTATAGATTGGCGGGAGGAGTGAGACCAAAAATGTCTAGTGATGAAAATAACAGCATCTACTCCTCACCACCAGCCATTACTTTACATTGCTAATAACTTTTGAAATATTAGTCCAAAAATTATTATCGATCAGTAATTTTCTTAATTAGATCATTTACTATACTATAAGCTAGTTAAACATGTATGAATCCATTTTAAAAATAAAATTGATACCCCTGTAAGACATAAGAGATGAACATGAAAAATTTTTAGACCAGATAATTGTAGATATACATGTACCTAAAAAAACAGAAAAAAGTTATTATTTTAATAAAAATTGAGCGACTAGTGTAAAAAAAATCGCCTTGTATTTAATACGATATAATTTTACAAGAAGAAAGAAGGTAGATGATCATTAGTGGTTTCATTTGAATTAATGTCAACCGTTTTGAGAAAAATGTTAAATTAATGTCATGTATTTATTATTATCAATATGCCCTCTTAATGATATGTCTTTTTTCATTAAAAAAAATAAATATTGATAGTCATAAACAAATATTTTTAAAGAGAGGAATCAGTTAGATCACCAAAACATATTTTTTTTTTGTAAATCTTTAACTTATTCACAGAAAAAGATTAAAATGGCAACTTTTCCATAAAAAATTAAGTTTTTGAACTAAACTTTTAAACATTTTTCAGAAATACTTACATTCTTATATCTTAAAATATAAAATATGTATCTTAAATTGTCCCTGAAAAAAAATTGTCCCTACGATTTATCTTCATGATGAAAACAGACATCAAAGTTATGAAAAAAGTACGATTTTTGTGTAATAATTCTCAATTGTATTTTTTATATTATTAACTTTATAGTGCCCTAACTTTTAAAAAAATGTATTGATTTTTTTCAACTTAACTTTTGAAAATATTCCGGAAATACCAGATATCAAATATACGTGTCCCAACTCTGCCACGACTCTAACTGTGCTACCGTTTTAAATATATGATACTTTGTACATATACCCATACTCTTACACTTTTATGAATATTCTTTATTATAACAATTAAATAATAAGTTATATCTATGTTATAATTTATTACATATTAGTTCACTGTGTTGTATGTAATGCTTTACAACTATTCCCCCAGGATGGTAAAAAGATATATACGAAATACACATACAAAAAATATAGGGAATCCCTATTTCTATTGAATTATTCCCTATTCTATAAAACGTTTTATATTAAAAAAAATAGATAAAAATACAATATTTTATTAATTTTGTTATCTAGCAACAATGTAACTAGATACTGTTAAATAACATATCAAATTTATTTTAGTCAAAAAGTCCTGAACATTGCTATGTGTTGTGTTTTAATATTGAACTAAATTGTTAAATCAATATAACATTGTAAAGTGCTTAAAGAAGATTTTTAATAAGGTTTTCACAACTAACAATAAAATTGATACGATAAACGTCATTGTATGTAATCAAGTAACCAATAAATGTAATAGAAATTTCAAGAGCTACAGCGACTTCGAAACAGCTGAAAAGAAAACAAGTGTTTTGATAGAGATGTTGTCTAAGTGCAAGGTTATTTGAATGAGATAGAAAATCTAAAGGCATCATTAAATATTAATGGAAATTTTACGAATGAAGCATTTGAATGTTTGATATGTGATAATAATTATCAAAATATCAAGGTTTGTTGAATGATGGTAAACTTTTGAAATTTAATTGGGAATCTACTTTTTTAAGAGATACTATTCCTAAAATAAAGAAGAAGGGCCTACCTCATTTGGCTAGATTTGCTTGTCGCATAGAAGAGTTTAAAAAGAAAAAAATTGAAGCGAAACAAAATAAGAGAAATAATTATAATTATTGAACTGAAAATTTAAGTAACTTGAAAAATGTTTATTTATTTATAAATATTGTAGTATAAAATAATGTTTTTTTTTTCTTTAATAGTTATTAGTTCCGTATTTTCATTAATAGTTAAGTAATGCTTTGTTGTAATGAACAATAATATATAATATATATGATATTCTTTTATTACATTAAAATTTTTTTAAATAATTGTTCTAAGTGAATAAAATGAATAGGCCCTTCAGAAATACTTATCAATTAATTAATTTCTTTATTTAGCATAAATTGAGTAGAATAAACCTAAATAATTAACATAGTCTACTAAGTATCATACTACATTAAAGCTCTTATGAAACTTACATAATCCAATTGTTAACGCTAAAAGTTATTTATACATATAGTGAATGCATATGAACTGTCATTTTTTCAAAAGGACCTTGAGACGTATATTATACCAAACAATTTTTTTATTATATTATTAACTTTTTAATACAAATAAATCATTTTTTTTAATATTTTTTATATGTAAATATTATTTTTTACCAATTAGTAAAAATACCAGAAATTAGAGGTGATAGAAAAACTCTATTTGTAAATTTGAAATCAGTGTGAAAATTGATTTAGAAAAATTATATTTTTGTCTCTGATGAAAATTATTTGTAGATCACTTTAAGCCAAATTATTTTTATTTATTTTCTTGAATTTTTATACATGTTTGCAACAGAAATAACGAAATAAAATTAAGAAAATAGGAGTTGACGTTTCCACTGTACCAGTATGCTACCGTTTTTTAAGTCTATTAAATATGTATTTTGACATTATAAGGGATGAACGAAAAATGTAATTAAAAAATAATGAATCAAGAAATATTTAAAACTAAATAACACCAAAAAAAGAATTGTCTAGACACGATTATTTTTTTAAGAAAAATTGAGTAATAGTGTTAAAATAGCCACTTTATATTAATTATGTTTAACAAGTTAATGCGAATTTGTGCAAAAAAGTTAAGATAAAAATGCCTGGACAAAAATGTTTAAGAAAAAAAAATGATTTAATATCTAAAGTAGAGTATTATAAGCAATTTGAAAGTTTTCGAAGCAATAATCGACTATATCCATTTTATGAAATTGTTTAGGAGATACAAAAATACTAAATAACTTAAGTACTGAACAATGTGTATTAGTTTTTCTTCTATTATTTATTAGCTTATCTAGCGAATGTATAAGACTAGTGATCACACCAAACTGTTAAAAAATGTATTTATCAGAAAATATAAAGAAGTCAATTTCGAAAAAAAAAACAGAGAAAACCGGCGTATGCACTAGACCTTTCCATTACAGTTTTCTCGAAATAATAAATAACTTTGATTTAGCGGTTATTGACAGTAAAATGATTTTTGAAAACTATCTAAATTTCTTCAAAAAAGCAATTTTCTATTTAATGTTTGAAAAATTATTAATTAAATCTATTAAATTTCTTGTTCACCTAGTGTGACAATTTATCTTTTATAATTACACAAATAAAACAATTTGTTTAGATACTTTGGACAATTTAGTATCGATTGATATTTTCGTTCTTACTTTTTCGTTAAAGAAAACCAACGCACTCTCATGTATTACATATTATGTGTGCGTTGAAATACCTCGACACATATTACTCGATCGTATTCCACATTAAGATTCCTCACACACCATTTTCTAGCTTTAAAGAGTATTGATATCGACAGCGTTTGATGTCGCGCACTACTATACATACGCCTTACTCATTCATAACTCTTCCTTTATAAAATATAAAAATTCACCACTATCTCTTTCCGACCGCCGGCATTAGTACACCAAGTACAGAGTTCCATCAAAAATGAAAGCTACGACGACGGCGGCGCAACAGTAAGCACCTCCCTAGTTTCCCAGGACGGACACGCCCTTTCGACTTCCAGAAAAGTTGACTGCGCGCGCCAAAATCCCTAAAGTGCCGACCGCGTGCAAATAGGCACCGCCGACGTTGCCGGTTTAGTCGCATTCCGTCGTAAAACTTTACCGATAGTTGCTTTAATGTTAATTCAACCACTGCACATCCGCGTATTGCTTTTTAGTAGGTATTTTATGTTAAAACATATCGATCAGGTACGGCGGTTTACCATTCGTAGATAATAATATTGCCTACGATAATCATATGATGGTTCAATCATAGAAGCTAATCGGGTAAGTCCAATATTAGTGTATCAGTATTGTACTATTCCATTCGAGGCAATATAATAATAATTATTAGTTATAATAATAGCAACTTTTAATTAAAACGCTTTCAATTTGCATTAGGTTAATATTCCTTCATCTAAAATTGCAAAATAATATACGATAGGTCAGGTGAATAAATCTCTTGCAAAACATTCGGTTCATTAGCGTCATTTTATGGAAAAAATATTATTTTATCATCAAGTTATAATTAAATATTCTCATCAAAATATCCTTGTCAAATTGAATTATAGGTAATTTATGTGTGAAATAATCTCTTAAGTTTTTTACACATATAACGTAATAAATGCCTAAAAATATAGGTTAAAAAAAAGTGACTTATTACTATTTTCGACCGAAAAATGTTAACTAGACACCTATTTTGAACTGTTCAACGCATATAAAGATACTTAATAAACGTCAATCATCATGGGAGGGAACGAAATTAATAAAGTCACATAATGTGGGTACAAAGGGCAAACGGCTGTATTAAGGGATTACATATGCAACAGAGATTACAACACGTGCACATCTGACTCGTGCCCGGTCGGTTTGAGAGTGTACAGCGTTCAAAGCATTTTTCAATATATTTTCAAATAAATGAGCCAGCGATTATTTTAAAATATCAAGGGAGGCGTGAAACAATATAGTTCAACTCGCAGACATCGTCATCTTCATTTGTCAACATTTGAAGATCAAAGAGTCAAAATATACATAACTGACAAAACAAACAAATTAAAGATAAATCATTCATCAAGCAGCGACTAAAAATTATTGTTTTAATTGGAATAATTAAAAATTAATTAAGGTAGTATTGAAAAATGTAGAATGGAAGAACCACTATGAACTTCAACCGTTTACACGGTTATCTCAACCCAAAAATTAGAGTTAGTATTGTGGCACCTGTGAGTTTAGTGGAATCTACTATACTGGTTCGGTTGATACATTATAACTACTATAACTATACAAAGTTATCTTATCCATCTATAAATAGTAAGAATAACCGTTTTATAATTTAGCCGTCACTCTCCTAGATAGTTCAATTACCATATCGCATTGTAATAAAAAATGATATCATGTACAAAAAATAATTTTGATGATGGAAACAAAAAGTCGCTCTTGCTTTTGGTAGACCATAAATGTTGTATTATCATTCTTTTTATTAAACTAAAGAACTCCTGTCAACTAAATAAACTGAAACTTTCTTTGGAACTGGATACGTTTTTATTTTTGATACTGAATGTTTATTTAATGATACTTAAGTCAAAGGGCCACAGAAACTAAACATTTAACAAAATATTAAAATACACCCTTTGTTCATAGACTTAATATCACAGCTCGACAAAATTTAGGTCATGTAAATCATTGTGTGTTTTACGTTGATTATGGTAACATTTTTCTCAAAATATATAGTTTTTAGTAATTTTTCAATCAAATATTTTTAATATTTTTTAGTTTTAAATTATTATTTTTAATATAATTTTAATTTTTAAGTATCTGATTTTAGTGTCACAATGATGATTTTTAAAAATGTTGAAAACATTCTGTAAAGTTTCACCTTTAATATGGATTTTTAAATGTGAGTTTTATACAATTTTAAAATAATATTATATTTTAATATTTATGTTGTATTGATTATATCATTAATATTATTTAAAATTTCTATTTATGTATTTCATTTTGAAAATAATAAGAAAAAATATTCCATCTACAATCATGTACTTTAAATTATTAGTGTATTTGAATATTTAATACAATTTTATTTTAAAAAATTATTCGTAATTATAGGACCTTGATTAAGAAAAACTAGCTTTAATCATTTTGAAATCTTTCTAAGAAATATTAATTAAAAATATGTTTGATATTAGTCTAATTCAGTTGGGACAAATATATATACGTATTATTACTACTAATATCACGTTAATGTATATATAAAAAATGATACATTTTATTTTCTATAATTTTAAAAACATACTTAATTACAAAGATAAATATCATAAAAAATTATTTAAAAAGAAAACCAAAAAACTATTGTTTGTTCACCTGTTATAATATTAATAATTTTAATATTGCAATTAATATTTAGTTAAAAACTCGAANTTGTTCACCTGTTATAATATTAATAATTTTAATATTGCAATTAATATTTAGTTAAAAACTCGAATAAGAATAATTATTTGATGATTTCAAATTGAAGTAATAAAACCTTTCTCAACGCTTCTATCACAATGAATATAAAATCATCATTATTTGGTAGGCCTATGATTTGTCATGGACTGTAAGCTTTCTCTGAAAATAACCATCGATGAATTCTAAGCAGTCCAGACAACAAAAGCAAGGGACATCCAACCCAACATCGAACAGTTTTTTTGCGCGACACAGTCACTTAACTCCTTTTAACATATTTCTCCGCCACAACCAAAAAGCGCAATTTTAAAGCTGCTTAAATATAATAAATCATAATACCATTTAAATATAATAATAATCGCTTAAAACTATTTTGCCGTTATAATGGTTTTATTGGTCTAACAACTGAATTATAGATTCATTATTAATCACTATATAAGTATAATGGCTATATGAACTATACGTGAGATTGGTTTAACCGAACAAACCAGTATATACTAACTAAATATACTTGGTAGATTAACTAACTAAGATGGTTAGTTTTGCTGTAGTATGGTTTTCCCAACTATAACATTTTTAACCGTTTAAAATTTTTCAGGTAAATGACAACTAAAATGATGATTTCTTAGTGATTGATCAAAAAATATAAAAAAATAATAAATTGTAAATAATAGAATATTAAAAACGATGAAAATGCTCGAGATTGTTTTAGTGATAACTGATAAATGATGAAATATTATAAACTAATTTATTTAAAAGTTTTGTAACTTAATAAACTCACTGTAATATCTTCACATTAAAACCAAATGTCACATAACATAAAATAAACATAAATTTATATTTTTTCAGTAATAAAAAAAAAGTAAATGATAGAGATGAATCCGAGTAGGATTGGATAAATTTTGCATACTATTAGAAAATAATCGACCTAAAATCCTATTAATGCATAATTGAATATTTGGCATTAATAATTGTGCTACCGAAAAATTAAAAATTGTTAGTTCCAAAAAAATACAGAAAGTGCCAAACTCATGAACATATATAACAGGCTAAGTCCTCAAGAGGAGATGGGTGAATTAAAGAGGAATGTAATTTTTTGTTTTAATAAATAGAAGATAACAAAAATATATATATATATATTATAGAGACAGTGACGCCGGAATCGTGGTCAGGGTTGGAAGGGGGGCAGTTGCCCCCGTGTTCAAAATACGAGGAGGGCAAAAGTATCATTGGGGCATCCACCAATAGAATCTGACAAAAAAAAAAAAATTCAATAAATGTGAAAATTAATATAGCACTACCATACTTAATTATTTAGCTATTCAGAATTTAGGATTAAAAAGTGTTTATAAATTTACCTAACTCCAGTTGAATTTTAAAAAACGGTAGCACAGTGGAGTCGTGGCACAGTATGTTTAATAATGTTTTATTATTAAAGAGATAATCATTTTACTTATCAAATAATAAAATTAGCTTAAACAAGCAATGGTCATTTATACTTCGTTTAATATTCACTATCAATTTAACCAAAACATCATTTAATATTAATTACTCATCAATACTAATAAAAATCTATTTATAGAACAATAATTTATCTAAATGAAAATAAATATTTAACTTTTGCTTTTTACCTAGGTAAATATAAAAATTACAGACTTTTTGTTTAAACATAGTGTACATAAATCGTTGGATTTATAAATATATAATTAAATTATTATCTTAAAAATGAATTTCCTTTTTACTAAGTTATCAATCTTTATTCAATAAACTACTATAATATTGAACAGGTTCGACTTAATTTTGTAATTTTAATTATAATTGACAAAAAATCGGTAGCACAGTATGGACGTGGCATAGTAGGAACAAGTACAGATGATATTTGACAGTGATTAAAATCATTATTGTAAGAAACGCTTCAATACGAATCTGTAGATAGTGTTTAATTAAAAAAAAAGAGTGGATTATTCCAAAAGCAAAATTAACTCCTATTTTTATTCTACTTCGACCAACATTTTTACATAGAAAATAGGTCGTCGGTTCAAATTTTTTTTTTTTTTGAACTTCTAGTACGTTATAATTCATGTAAATTTTATATTTATTGGTGGACTCATTACTATGGCAAACCCTTATAAGGCATTTTAAAATAAAATTTGAACACAAAAATAGCATGTTTTTTAACTACGGTAGCCATTTGCATAAAGAAGATAGTTCGTCGAAAGCTTTAATTTTATATATGTTTCAAGAATATAATGTTTCCGGAACATTTTTAAAACTTAAGTTGAAAAAGTTGAGTTTTGTGAAAAATTTGTTATTTTGAATCTGCCTCTGTAGGCAGATAAAGGGTCAGATTTTCAAAAAAATTATATCAAATCAAAGGGAAATGTATAAGGTTTCAATATAAAAAATAAATTTTGGTTCATTTATTATTCAATAAGTTATAAAATTTCTAAGTATCAAAGAAACATTGATTTTTTACACGAAAATTACACTTTTTTACAATTTTGACAGTCATTTGCACATAGAAGATAGGTCGTTGGGACAAATTTTGTTTTTATCTAATAGTACATAATGTAAGCTATAATTTAACATTTGTTTAAAAGAAGCAGTATTTTCCGGAACATTTTCAAAAGTTGCTATTTTGAATCCTTAGCAAGTAAGGGTCAGATTTTCAAAAATATTATATCAAATAAAAGGAAATTACTTATATTTACAATATAAATAAATAATTTTGATTTGTTTACTTTTCAATAAGTTATGGCCATTTTTAAAGAAAAAAAGTAAAAAAAAGTAAAAATCGTAATTTTTTGGGGGATTTTCACCATTTATGGAGAACGAGAGAAAATGTTTTAATTTTTGATGGTAATGTCTTCAAATAGATACAATTTGTGATCTTTTGATGTATCGTTGAAAAAAATCGGTCCAGTGAGAGCTGAGAAAAAATAGTGACAGACACAAAAAAAAAAATAATTAAATACATCACAGTAAAATTTTTACCTTCTCAGTTCCGCATTGAAGCTAATAATATTTATTATTGAGAGTAAAATTTATAAATTAACGGATTTTTTTTTATATGATCACTAAAATTCATCAAAAAATAGCTTAACTCGCGTTTTAGCTTAATAATAACCAAGGGGATCGAGATTTAGTCATTCAATTTTTGCCTCCCCATGTAAAAATAGTTCCGACGCCCTTGTATAGAGACAATAAAAACTTATGTACAGGAATGGTTTAAAAGAGACCAAACACGCACGTACAATATTTTTTAAATGCACCGGGATATTTGTCAATGTATCATACATCAAATTAAAACTCTTGATACGTACTACACAAACAATTAAAAAAAATATATCCAACGATTGTTTTACTATGAAAAATCGGACGTCAAAGTAAAAATTTACTTCATTTTCAATTTTTGAAAATGTTCTAAAATGTCAGACATCACGCAATCTTTACGAAATTAAAACTTTTTAAGAGTACTTTATAATAAAAAAAAACAAAAACGTACCAACGGTATTTTTTTTTTTGAGTTATTTGACTTTAAAATGCACTATTTCAATAACAAATTTAACTGAGCGCATTTAAGCGTTTTTTAAGATAGTTATGTTAATCAATTACAGATATCATCTATACGTGTTCCTTTTTTCAATTAACAAAAATAACTGTGCATTATTTAATTATTCATTACCTAACAATTATCCCTTATTTCAGTTAAGCTAACTATAGCAAATTCTGTCATCATTAAACCATTAATACCACTGCTTAACACAAGTTTTAGGTCTGGGTTTTAATAACTTGTACATCACTAATGATAGAAAAAAAATTATTTAATAACATTTGTTTTTGTAACCATACAAATAAAATAACGGGTTTTCCAAAATTTCATTTTTTTTTTTGTCTGTTTATTGATTGAAAAATACTTTATATAGTTTTAATAATAATTAGGTATATAATTATTTCAAGATAAATATATTCTGTAAAAATGTAAAAGAATACATTATTAAAGACAAAGTAATGTAGTAACTATTATAACTGAAATTCGTTGCATTAGTACCCAAATGAAAAAATACTAAATTTCTTTCATTATATAAAATCTGAAGACAAATTTTAAAACTCTCCAAAACATAAATTACCGTTTATTATTCCATATATTATCATATATTGGGTTTGAATGATTGTGTAACACACAATCAGACATCCTATGACGAGATCGCTGGATTAAGACCTATATAGAACCTCGAATGCTACCTTAAGATGGGCCCGCTATGGAAAATATTGCAACCATAAAAAAGTGATCAGACAAAAAAATGGTCAACAAATCTAGTAAAATTTAAGATGGGACCCCTAAGATCGTCGTTCCTAGAGCGTTCGTTATATCGCTTTAATCTGCCTATTATACCGATATATTTATTAAATCATTTAAAAATAGTTTTCAAAGTTAATGGAAGCTTTAAACATTTATGAACTTATGAAAACAATAAACTCTCATTACAATATAAGCTCAAAAAAATATTTATTTTTTGTTGATCTTTATAATATTTGGGTTTGGTGAATCTGTTTTCTGATCATAGCTATTGACTATTCCAAACGTTAACATGCAGTAGAATTACACGTTTTACAGCTCTTTTCTACCTTATTTAAGTTCCCTAAACATTTTACCAAATATCTGTCTGTGGTATTAAAAATTACAAAAACGCTTAACACATATACTTACTAATACATCTGATAACCTTATCTCATTAATTTTAATGTCATTTCCAAAGTCTTCTATCATAATTTTTGTCATTTATACAATAACAAAATGTTAGCTTTATTAGTGACATGTTTATAGATTAGATTATCATCTTTTTAGACATAAAAATGAAAACTGCATTAGGCGTAGTGAAGTTGGAGATGGAGCCAGTATTTGGAGATGACATGATCTCAGAAACATCTTCATCTTCGGCGTCAACGATGTGTGCAGAATGCGACTGTGTGATTGCTGATAGATATATTATGCGAGTATCTGGAAGATCTTACCATGAACAATGTTTAAAATGTGCTACTTGTTCTCTAAAATTAGATAGAACATGCTTTGTGTGGAACGCAAAACTTTATTGTCGTCAAGATTATGAAAAGTAAGGATTTTTTTTAAATTATACTATTTATACTTTATGTATAAAAAAACGGAATCAAGAAAATACATAAATATCATGTCATTGACAAACCTATACATCAAGTCCGTAGGGAAATTTATCAATAATAACTTAAATTATTATATAAAAAGGCGAGAGTAAATCTGTAACTAAGAAGCTAAAAGAACTATTTCATAAAATTTAACTTTTTGGAATATTACCGTGTTTTTTCTTACGTCTTTTTATCGATTATCATTTTAATATTTCATTTAAAAAATGTTGGTTAACTAAATTAGTAGTTTTATTAGTCGCAAAGAGAAAGTCCGTAACATTATGTATTTATAAAATTTCCGAGACTCTTAACTCTTTGAAAATTTATCATAGGTGTATACAGCACCACAGGAATTTTTTTCATTCTAGGAGGAGTGATCTCCCAATACCTTCCAATATTATAATCCTAATTAATATACATTCCTTAGGAATAATAAAAACAGAAGCAAATATCTGTTTTTTACTGATGTACTCGGGATAATTAAAATAAGCTTTATAAATGCATAAATTCACTGACACTACTTATAAACAAAAAAATTTTTTTGTTTATAAGTGTGTAAGAAATGTTGAAAAAAATTTAGGGTTATTATTTTGCTGGGTATTATAAATTTCTTAAAGCCACTACATAACCAAACATAACCCTGGCTATTCAACCATAGTTTTTAGTTGACTACATTAATCTGCACATCGATATTGATTAGAAATTTTATTTTAATCACTTTTAATCTGTACAATATATAAAATTGAACTTGGTATTACATAAAAATATTTAAATGTAAATATGAATGCACATTTTCTTTTATGATTTATACTAATTTTATTCAACAACGGACCTATTGTAGAAAACATTAAAACGGTGATTAAGTTCCTAACCAAATGTGTGGCTGTCATATTGACACCGCCATTATTTTGAGTAATTATTAGATATTCTAGTTCAACGTATGCAGTGGTTTTTGGGATTGATTTGTGCACGCGACCTAATCTCAGTCCATTGCTGCATTTGTGAACCGCTTCGGCGTTTATAGCGTGCGCGTGTCCCATCCTGGTGGGCCTTGTGCCATTTAATACCCTGAAAACGGGCGTTTATTAAATAAACGATGGTGACTTCATTACTCTGGTGGCCCCAGAGGCCTTTGCATAAATACTAAAGGATCACATAAATACAATGCCATACTATTATAAAATTGGTTTACATGAAATCGAATATTGCACAGTTTACTGAGGCATTTGTGTTGTGATTTCTGAATTCTAAAACTTTACAAAGAATAAAAGGAGCAGTACAACTCAGAGTATACGATAAAACTTAATACTAAATACTGTTTTTCTTTGTAAAAATTTTTTTAAACGTGAACAGAAAAATAATTTTAGTTTGCTCTTGTTTAATACCTAGTAATTAATGTTCTATGCATTCATTCTAAGCTTAATTTGGAACTTTATTTCGGAATTAAAAGCGTAGTTACATATAAAAATCGTTTTTATGTTACTATAATAGTCTTTTGTAAAAGTGTTAAAACGTGCAGTATACGAAATTTATAATATTTATAGCAGAAAAACTATTCACATGATTTTTAGGGTGTTTTTATGAGTGGTTGAACAAATCCACAAACTACTAGAAAAAGTTGAGCTATAAAAATAGAATTACGCCAGTCAACAACACCATCATTCATAAACGTCTACGAGCCTAAGGGAGTGAGAAAACTTTTGATGACAAATGTCTATTCGATTTATTTGTACAGTTTTACCGTGTTCCTTTACCACTATTTTTTCATTGTTTTTATTTTTTGTAACGTTATATAAATAATGGCGTCAAATGTACCAAAACAAGTCAATTATTACACTTGGACAGTTATAATATTTCACAGATTTTATCTATTCATTTCTGTCAATAAATATTTTGTATTTCTTAACAATACTAATAAATATTAGTACTATAGATTGATACGGCTTAAATGATAATAGACATTTAACTGCGCCAAGCTTGCCTATTTGACACGTATGTAGTAATTTTGTATGACTAAAATTAAATTATCAAACACTTTTTAAGTTTTGATCTGAATCAATTTGGGTCAAAAAAATATTTAAAGAGAAAGAGAGTTGAGCAATTGAAACTAATAAGATCCTAGCTTCCCAAATATTTTAATTTATTTTTAATTAAAAATGAATACTGTTTTTAAACATGTACATTTGAAATAAGTGGTAAAATAAAATGTAATAATTAATCAAATAAAAAGGGGCCTTGCTTCTTATAATTTCTGAGGTAATTAAACACGTAGATTGTAAATTACTTTTATCTACCTTACCATAAGTAAACATACCATAATTTCTTTGGTACTACATTCTTTGAAGTGAAATCCAATTGATATTTAAAGAAACTGATATTCAAAACATTGCATTAGTTTCAAAACAAATTTTTAAAAGATCTCTCTTAGCTGAAGATGTAAAAATTTAAAAAAATAGAATTTTAGGCAAGGTAAATGAAAGAACAAAACATAAAATGTACTTTTTTATCACGTTAATAAACAGGTTTTACTGCATTTATTATTATTAACACACAATAAAACTATTAATTTTTTTTATCAAACTATTGTTTGTAAAACAATAGTATTCCATGTTAGTTTATTGAATGAACAGTAAACGGCTAAATACGCGAGTGTTAAGTAGATAATTGAAAGATTATTACACGTGTTTTAGTTGGGTCGTTAAAAGATACGGATCAACGATCTGTAACCCTTGCACGGCTACAGTCCATTCCACTTGGAGGGTAGACATTTTTCAGGGGCAGAGGAGGAGGAATCATTTTGTCTCGTTAACGTCAATCCGAAAACGATCAATTACACAATTACACATAAGCGGTGCGATTCCATGAATTGTATTTCGATGACGTAGCACTCTACAGCGCAGCCTAACTGCTACAGCTCCAAGTCTCAGTATTCGGACTCCAATCCCCTAGCCGATGACTAGGTGGAACACGTGTTTTTTTGGCTTTCGACGAAGGGCCTGCAACGATAAAAAGGGGGGTAGGTGTGTGAGGGAGATGACCGAGTCACGTCACAATTATACGGTGTATTCGCGAAGCAATACCGCAGAAGTCATTGTTTTTTTTTACACACTGCAATACCAGAGGGGAATAAAAAGACAAAAAAAAAAGAACTATACGCGCTCACAGTGATATATTATATTTTATGCTAATAAACGATTGCCAACGCGAGGCATTTATAATCATCGAATAGCCATTAGAGAAACATACATTATATTATGTGTGTGTGTGTGTGCACGCATAGACTAGACGGATACTAGAAGGTGGGGACGCGTATAAATATTATAATATACTACCGTATGGATTTCACCCCTTTTTTGACGTAATACGAATTAATAAATACGATCTTTGGACGTCTAGGGTTCCTATTTTATTGTTCCAGATCCCCACAACTCAAGCCGCATCAGCCCACTCTTTTGTATTGTTTTTTCACGAAATTTTACACATAATTACATAATGATGATATATCATGTGTTCGACGGAGCATAATTGATTTGTCTGCCTAACAATGATACTTGTAACTGTACACGTATACCTAAGACCAATTCNCAAACAATGATACTTGTAACTGTACACGTATACCTAAGACCAATTCAAAGTACAAATGAATCCAGAATGGACTGAACTTTGAATTAATTGCACAGATTTATTCTAGATTTCCGAATATTATTCCAAATATTTGTTTACATAAATAAAACCATACTAATTTCAAACTTATCAAGAACGTTAACTCATGATTTTAATATGTACGACTAGCTAAAAAAATTATTGTTTTGCAATTTTTTCTTGTTTTTACGTTTTTATAGGACGAAATGCTTTTGTTTAGATTTTTCAATAAATAGGGTCCATTATTTCAATGGTTTTACAATCCCCTATTCTAAATAATTATTTGTATGTAAAATAACCAAATACGGTTTTTACAGATGTAGTATATGTTACTGTCATTGATAAGGGTGAAAGGATTTTGACCTTTTGTATAACGCCGGTTCCTATGTTTCTTTAACTTGAAAACAATTGAAAATTTTGTATTAATACTTGTTAGGATTTTTATTACTTCTATTTGCAAATTTAAATCATATATACTCGATCGGGATTGTTCTTAAACGTATGTTTTACTAGAAATTTAATTTTTTTTAATTAGGTTTTTGCTTTAGTTATTTAATAAGCAATTATATAACAATAAATATTAGGAACTAATTAAAATTACCAAAGGAATCGGCTAAATACACTAAATCAATGCATCAGATCTATAACACAAATTTTATTTCTTTATATATTCCCCGTAAATGTCATCTCCAAATACGGAAAACTGCTACAAAAAATATATGTTTTTTGTCTCTATCAAAATTCGAAGGGAGCAGTAAGAAAAAAATACTCAACCGCTTTTCTTTTATTTTATTGGCGGACGCAGTTTTGTGGCAAAAAACTTTTATCCTCCCCATACTTGGCTATATCAACCCCCCCTTGTTTGTATCAAAAGCCTGGATCTCCGGCTATAAAATCACAAAGAAAAAAAAAGAAAATACCTACAGTCCTGGAATACACCGTGCGCTATGTCTTACCGCGTGTGTACATAAATCGTTTTTATTTTTATTTCCGAATTTTGCGGTAACACGTGCAATGTGGCAACGTCTTACGTCATCAAAAAAAAAAGAAAAGAAAACCCGTAAGGGAAAACGAGAAAGCAGGTGCACAGATATTAGACGGTCACGGCTATTTGTGTGCTACCCTATGTATGGAGTCGAAGAGTGAAAAAAGGGAGAGACAGTATACAGTGCTTGTTTGTAACATATTGTCTTTTCCTTTCGTCATCCCTCCTCTTGGTAACAACCGTGAAAACGTCACGTCGTATAAACGTATCGTGAGGGGAGGAGTAGAGGAAACTATAGTATAATATATAAAAACAATATGTTGCACCGACTACACTTTTGACTGCTTTTTGGAATCCCTTTTCCTCGTATACCTCTAGTGTATATATATAAACGTCTATTAGGCGGTTTGTTTTTATAGCTCTGGCCTATAGAGCAGTAATATGTACTGTATATGTATTGTAAGTGATGGTGCGGCATGCCGAAGCAAAACGATATGGCGTGTTTTTATATGCGACGTATAATATAGTTATTATTATCGTTATTATTACCGTAGGCATCTTGGGCAGCAAAAACCGATGCGGGGGTGACGAACTTTAGGAATATTGAGAAATCCTAGAAAAGGTCTTCCGTAATGATACAACGTTTATCTAAGCGAAGTAATGCAGATCCATGACCAAACTTCTCCTCTGGATTCCATGTAAAACATATTGTTTTGAAAAAAAAAATGCTATAAAATTGATCATACACTGTAGTGTTTACTTTCAATAACAATAAATGTGTGTAATTTTAACGATGCTCATTCACGTTTTTTAAATTTTAATTAAGAACTGAATAACTCAAATGTTTTACTTAAAGTACTCTGTTGTCGAGATTTAAAATGGGATACACTTAGATCTTAAACTCAAAGTATTTTCCAAGATAACAGCTTCAAATTAAAATACAAAAAAAATTATGCTATTTTATTTNTATAAAAAAAATTATGTTATTTTATTTAAAAAAAAACTTTTCACTTAAGCGACTTATGTATTTTTTAGATATATATTATTAAAAATAAAATTTATTACAACTTAACTGTCATAGTTTTAATTTTAAAAAAGAAAATCATCAGGCGTGTACCATTACTGTAAGAAATGATCTAAAAATTTCCATACGTCAGTATGATAATATTGATTACACGTTAATTTTAAACACGAGTAGTATAATGTTGACATAAAGTATCAAAAATCCGTACACAAATATAACATTTTTATCACTATTCATCAAAATATGTCCTTACATTTTGTGTTAAAAATTCTAGTACACAGATCCAGACATTTGTTTTTAAGAGTGATAACACACATTTTGTAAACATTAAAAGAGATAACGTACGAGATAATTATTCAAAATAAAATAACAAATAAATGACAAAAGTCGTTTAAATATTGCAACAGTGAACGTTCACTACTGATATAGTATGCTAAAAAAAACAGACAAATTAACTACACAATTCAGATTCAAATGCTTATCTCCTAAAAGTACAACGTGGTTATTTTTATCGTTAGGCGTTATCTATAACATTTAAAATCAACTCGCTAATTAGGTGAATTCTATTTTACATATTCCATTGTGTTGTTACTTTGAAACTATACGAGAAATCTAAAAAATAATTATAAGAGTAGTCTTACTACATGAAACAGTATAGTTCCACATGTTTAAAATTACTTTTTAGTATATTTGATAAATTTTAAATATAACGTAGATTTACTTAACATTTTGTAAGTAAAGTCCTTCTAAATCTAGATGTGTATACCGGAGCTGTGGCAGTTGTGGCGACCGGGTTGCAACAGGCGAACTGGTTATGCGAGCCGGCGAGTGTATTTTCCATGAGCAATGCTTCGTATGTGTAGTGTGCGGTATACGACTTTGCACGGGAGACCAGTACGTTATCAAACACTCGCAACTATTCTGTCGGCCCGATTACGAAAAAGAAGTGAGCATGATGCGAGACGAGATCAACCGAAATACAGGTAAATACCGTTGCACAACCATACCTGTTAAGCTCATATCTACCAATAATATCAAACATCAAAGTGGCGGCTTCAAACAATCGAGACTAGCAAATGACAAAACTAAAGTTTTTACTATTATTATTTTATTTGCGACTTGTTTTAGGTGACTGGAACTATAGCCATGATGGTCGTCGTGGACCCAAGCGACCTAGGACAATATTAACCACCCAACAACGTAGAGCATTTAAAGCGTCGTTTGAAATGAGTCCTAAGCCATGCCGAAAAGTCAGAGAAGGACTAGCTCATGACACTGGTTTAAGTGTCCGTATAGTACAGGTAAAATTATTTAAAAATGTCAAAGCAAAGGAAAATATTTGTATTTCGAAAAATAAATATAGAGTGATTGTATAACTAAAGACATATCTTGAGTCATAATTAAACAATGACCTCATATTTCTCTATTTATCATTAATTAAGTACTTTTTCATATTCAAACGCACAAATAACCAACACAAAATTTTCCAAAAAAAAAGCTATGTTTGAAGAGCATAGCTTAATAAATGGATTTTTTAAGCAACGTATGTTATTTCAATTGCCTTTTCCAATCATTCGGGGTTCATTCATTAGTCCTTTAAAGTGATGCAGTAACTTATGATATGTACGAGAATTAAAATATGTTTAGTCAAATATACTATTATGTTTCTACTTAAAAAACTAAAGTTTATCAAATTAAAGGGGAAAAAGTATGTCATTGTTTTCTAAAAATTATAAAAACCTAATTTTATTATATATTTTAGCTTGTATCACAATTAACGATATTTAAATCAACTTATAAATAAGATACCTATCTATATAACACATCAATACTATATATAAACACATCTAACTGTAATAAATATTTATAACTATTAGCACGTTATTTCAAAATGGGTGCAAACAAACTCTAAAGTCTCGCCTTAATCTATACGATAATTTTATATTAATGTCTAAAGAGGTAACTATGAAATATATTAAATTACTACATCAATAATTACTATTGGACTGTGCTGCTAAACATTTATAAAGGATCGTCTTTGGATATTTTAAAACTGCTCATCAAACTATTAATTTAAGCTTACTCAATCATTCATGTTAAATATGTCAGCCCAAGCGTGCATGGTATGCATAATGAAACGTTGGAATGTCGATTTATTCTTCTTAACAGTAAAATTGCAAATGATTTTCAGAGAAAAACTAACGTAATGTGTAAAAATATGTACTTAACATGACAACTGTCTAAATTAAAAGACACTTTTCAAAACTGATAAAAAAACTATTGAAACTGAAATTGAAAAGTCGGTCCTGAAATTATATGTATTTATTTTGTTAATAATAATTTTAGTAAAACATCGAAGCTAAAATTATTTCTTGATAGCTGAAAATTTATTAAAAAACATAGAAATCCAGTTTTAAGTAACTTAAATCGTAACTTAATGATATATCATTAAGATATATATATATATATATATATACGATAATACAACAAAATTTAAACTGGACTAGCTAAAATTGTTTTATTTAAACAAATAAAATGTCTGTTTAACTTTAGGTTTGGTTTCAAAATCAAAGAGCAAAAATGAAAAAAATTCAAAAAAAGGCGAAATTGAATAACAACGTGTTGAATTCTAACAACGGTGTAAACGGAAACAACTGTAGTGGTGCTGACAGCGGTAACTCGTGCAGTTCAAGTGGGTTACTACAATCGACTATCAAAGACGAACAATGCAGTTTAGTATAAAATGTCATTTAAAGAATACTTTGTTTCAATATTAAATTCCGTGTTTGAGTAAAGGAATACAAAAAAAATAAAAATATATAATATTCGAGAAATTTCTGTTCAAAACTATGCCTCTTTTATACACCAAAAAGACTTTTACTGTTTTATTTTTTTCTCGGGGTCACGCCGTCGCGTCTCAAAGGGTCACTGTTTCCAAGGCGACCAAGACGCTCCTCCCTGTGTCGATTCGTAGGATGAAACCACTTCCCCAACCGTCTTTATAACGCTTTTCAAATGATTCTCCCCCTTCTTTTGCTACCACACAATAGATCACCTATACATAAAATAATGTCTTGCTACTGTACCTTTCCTAACCTCGCCTTCCATAAATACCAATCGCCATTTTTACAACTCACCAAAAGTTTTATTTTGAAAGCTAAAAAAAAAGCTCACTTATTGAATAAAATAATAATAGTACTTTCTATATGTAACCAGTGTCGTATTACGGAGAGGGGTCCATGGGGTCCATACCCCTACATGGACATGAAATCATAGTAACGGGAATAGTGGAGGGGTAAATCTCCCATTACTCTATACTCTGATAGCTATCTAGACTCCCCATAAAAAATTTCAAATACGCTATAGTGTGTTAGATAAGTCTTTCACCATATAAAAAATATCATATTCTGGTTTATATTTTAGAATTCTTCTTTGTAAAAAGAAATTAAAACTTCCTTAAATACACGTCTGGTACGTGTATTATAATATAAATTAATTCAAAATTTAGTATAAATTAGGTGGTACATTTTTAAGTTAATATTATTAATTTGAACACTTAAAGATTTTTTTTAAATATTTTTTCATACAAAAAATTCTACTTACAATTTTTCTTTTTATGCTATTAATAGTATACCTTTAATAGACCTTTTTTTAAGTAAAAAAAAAAAAAAATGAAAAGGATTATTATAATTTTCAATATAAAATTCCATCAGGTTCGGATGGATGTGAAGATGGAGTAGTTAATAGATTTGAAGCACTGCAACAGGATAATCATAGACAGCAACAGCAAGTAAGTGATTCCTACGATACTCGGCAAAGTTCTCCAATTATGGTTCAAACCGATTCACTAACACCATTCGTTCAACAACAGTCATCATTTAGTATTTTTAATAATGGTGAGGTTACTGTTCAACTCAGAATTGATTTTTAAATTATTTATTTTATATTGCTTAAAAAAATATATAATCTGTTCGTATATATACACACGCAATAAGAACTTATGTTATAATATGTCAAAATTATTTGAGAAAGATTATGTGATAGAGTTAAATAGTAAAAAAAAATTATTTTTAGAGGATTTACATGATTTAGAAAATGATTGTATTTAACGTTTATATTTAATAATAACAGTTTGTTTAAGTGTAGATATGCATAGATTATTATACATTGTTCCATTATTAATATAAAGGGAGATTTTAAGAATTCCGTTGTAGGATTTCTAATTTGGAGACTTTAAATTTTAGTTTTCTTTACTGAACCTCATAAATCTATATCGTATGGTCACATTGGTTTTATAAAAGTTTTGTAAGTAGTAAGTTTAGTGTCCAGATTGTTTTTTGAATTTTTGTGACTAAAGGGTTGTAAATATGCGAGACATTTATTAACAGCTAGTATTTTAGCATGGATATAATAGGATCATGAAAGTCTTTTTTCAGACACTCTATCAAGGTTCTTGGTTTTGGTTATTGTGGTAATAGGCACATTATTTATGAAAACTTGAAGAGGGTTTCTAAGAGAATTTATTTTTGTTTAATTTTAAGTTCCACTTCTAGTACCAGTTAAACATTTCAGTTAAATATGATTGTAGGTGATCTGCAGCTGTCGTATTATTCTTATAAACAAATATAAGAACTTTATCGTCTTCAAAGTTTGTGACGAGTGTGTTTTCAATTATTGACTGGTCATCAGTATATGTTAAAGCAGTATATTTTAAACAGTTAGGAAGAGAAAATTGCGCACTGAAAGACTCCTGATTAGATTTTTAAATGATAGAATTTATTTTAGAGCATAAATAAAGCATTTTAGATAAAATTGATAGCTTATGAACTACATAGTGTAGTTAGGGTCGGACTGAAGTTTTTTTTATAGAGGAGTATTGCTCAAAACACTACTATAGAAAATTATTACTATATACACTTTATAGTATATTTAAATACTATATGGTGGAAAAACTAAATTTAAATTTGTTATATTTGAAAACAGATCTTTTGTGTTATACAAAAGATAGTAGTGTTAAAATAAATTTCATTGTTATATTTTTTTAAGATTTTAAATATTTGATGAGGTCTATGTAATAATTCGTTCATTATTAACTGCAAATTACATTAAAAAGAATTATAGTTTTAAAGCGATCAATTAATGATCCAACAAAAAATAAGCTTGATTTCAAACTAAAATTTATATCTTTCACAAAGCTGATACCAACTGAAAAATAAGAGGATAAGATAAAAAAAGTACATTAGTTACGATTTTCAAGAAATAAATTTATTTTTAAGTATTTTCTTAGCAAATACAATTTTATAAAGGACGCTGTGAAATGAAATAAAGTGAGCTACAATGGTGATTGGCAAACAAAAGCATATTTATCATTGTGCCTAAATCAATAAAAACAATTATTAAGAATTTTGGTGGCCGAAGGGCTATGATAAACCTTTGGAAAAAAATTAACAATCCCTCAGATCGGATGCCGCTACTTCGATGCAAACGGTCAATATACCTCCCGTCGCGGTGTTTGTTTTTTACTATTGCAAACAATTTGAATGTATATTATAAAATGAAATGGTCGAAGATAAAAACGAAGGGAGGAGTTGGGGAAAAAGGAAGAGTTTTTCTTATTTTCTTGCAAAGATCCTCTCTTGCATCCGCATACTGCTACCGTTATTTGTAATAGTACCCGCACTCACACTTCTGTATATATATAAATATATATATATATATATATTATAGACACGCACACAAACACAAGAAGCCCTCGGCCCGTTTTGAGACGCGACCGGAGAATTTAATATTAAATCCGCGCGCGCGCCCGCTGTGATCGAAGGGTGCACCGAAGGGATAATACCCGGGGCTGTCGCCACTACTGCCGCCATGTCGCCCCCGCGCTGGTTTTATAGCTGTCAAAGGGATTTGTCCCTCGCAGGGATCACGCGAGAGAATGGTAGACATAAGGGATGCGCCTAAGGCCCGTGATCGTACCGGGCCAATATATTTGTATATAAAGACGACGGTGTGTGACACGCGTCTATCGGCCGGGAAGAAAATAATAAACGCGCCTATATTAACGGCCGTAAGGCTTCCCGTGGCGCGACCTTTGTGTACAACACTTTTCTCCCAAAATGGCAATATAATATACATGTATATGTAGGTGTATTAAACTAGTTGGTATATATGTATATCATGTCCGCATCTAAGGAAAACAAATAGAAACACATCTAAATCGCACATATATGATACGGTTATATGTTTTCCCATTATTACACGTCACATACTTATACAGTGTTCGCCTACAATAAAAAATATATTTGTAAAAAACTGATCGTCTATCACTTAACAGTTTCACGTCCCCTATTTTCAATAAAACTTGCTGTCATATAAGAGACAAATCATGATAGCTAAATAAAATTCACATGGATAACTAGGATAGTTTAAACATTTACTAGGTGGATATTAATTTGATTTCTTGATTTAGATAATATAAAACTATTCTAAATACCTATTAACATCATAAAAATCCGACATTTATTTTAAGCTTATTGCAATAATATCAATATAAATTTGTACACCAAAGGTTAGTCCATCACAAGTCTACTTTTTACAACATAATAATTTGAATTATATTAAAATTTTATAATTATAATTATTTTTTTAAATGTCCATTTTATTTAAAAAACAGTTTCACTTCAATAGAAATTTAAAAAAAATAACCTGTGGTAGTTTACCTCTGACGAATGATAACAATAGTATACATATGTAATACCTATAGAAATAATAAAATAATTTTTGTGTTTTTAATTACATTTGGTTTACATAATTTCAGATTTAGATAACCGAAGAGATCCTAATTACATAGTATCATCTGAAGTCGCGCCAAAACATATATACGGCGGATTTGTATCACAAGAAACAGTTATTCGGTGTGGTTCAAATCCAATTGATCGGCTATATTCAATGCAAGCATCATACTTCTGTAACAACATAACGGATGATCCAAATTCGTTGTCCCTAGACGATCAGTAACAAAAAATATAAGAGTTTTTTTTTATCGTTTAAATGTTATTAATTATGTATTATATTATTACTATTTATTATCACATGTACAGATAATATTTTCAAGTAAATTGTAATGTCAGACAAGACATAAAAACATTGTTTTTTTTTTTTTAAATAAATTTGGTTATGTTAATTTCTTTTTAAGTTATTATATCATTTTAATATAACAAACTCAAATTTATAAAATTGATTTTGTCCTTAAACGCCAAAAATATATCTTTATTAGATTTATTTAATTAATGTCGAAAATCAATTAATGCAGTTCCTGATATTTACTGATCATAGATTCTCGAGTAAAATTAACGGTGTAATAATTGAAATAATTTTTTTAGATCCCTCAACAGTAGTAAAGACACTTTTATACAATTAGGGGATACGTATAATTATGTATATGTTCATAAAACGATTGTTTTAAATTTTAAAAGTGTTTACAAAAAGCATTACATTCAGAAAATACATATTAAATTATTTTCAATTTATATATTAAAGATTGAAATTTATTTTAAATCCTATAATATATTTTTGAAATAAACATAAATATGTTTTATAACTATACACTATCACGCTATAAAACTTATTGGTAGAGTAGCAAAGAAATGAGCTTGAAGAGAAAAATCAATGAATTATGTTTAATATTATTGAATGCGGAATTATTATGATCACCTGTTTCATGCTATCATCTGATACTACTTTCTACTTATATTGTTTAGCTTTTGATAATAATGTTAGTATTATTAAATGAGATAACAATGTAGGCCGTTGTTTGGAATCGTGATACGTGCTGACGCTACTAGACTAGAGATAATCAAAGCAGCAGTTTTAATAAAGCGAAGGGTTAAGCTAATGTAATACAACTAGAGTGATAACCGAACGAAAAAATGAATACAAATAGAAAGAACAAATACAAATTACGGTAATCGTATGCGCATAGACGTCAAAGTTCGGGTCAAACAGGTGCCTCCCAGTAGTTTTTGCCCCCTCAAAAACTACTGTATTGTATATTTGTGCGTTTGGGGTTGTTGTTGTATATACTGCAGTTGCAGGTGGTCGTAGTGGTAAAGGAGACGACACCGAACGCGTTTTGTCATAGCGATGACACGGTCATTGTTTTTCGCCCACGTTAATCGCATTAGGCTCACTGCTCTACGGTGCAGCTGCAGTAACACTTAGAAAGCCGTCAATTGACTAAGCTAAGCGGCAGCATCGATGACGGCGTATCCGATTTACCGTTTTACAAGTCCTTTTTATTTTTCAATATTGCGTTAACATGTCGCTGGATAAAAACGAACAAGTTTTTTTATTTAAAACCATAGAGTCCCCTTTTTATGGAAATTACTTTCCATTAAATTATAAAACATAAGTTATCAGATGGTAAAATATTAAAAAAACGCTACTTTTTATGTTTTTGATCTCGATACTAATTTTTTCTGAGGATCCCGTTATCCCATTTCAAAAAAACCAACTAAATTCAAATAAAACTTCGCAAAATAAACGTTTCAGAAAAAATAAAATAAATGTATCTCTATTTTTAATTTAAAAATTCTATGTTAAAAGTTGATTTGTTATTGGATATCATCTGACAGGGTAATTCATTATGTTTGTTATAGAAAATCAAGTTATGCATGAATGATTTTTTAGTTAAATTAATTTCACTAATATTTTCAAAATAATAAAGTAGTTTTTATTGGCGGAAATTTTAAAACTAGGCTCTATTAGAACACTAATTCACTTTAGTAAAAAATCGATACAGGCCAACGGGTTTTCTTTGTAATTGATTTTATATTCAGAATATTTCGCAAACATTAAAAACTCTCATCTGATTAACTTGAATTTATTTTGTTTTTCAACAATTTAATATTAGTAACTAAAAACTACACTATTGTTCTTTAAATTTTGTGTGGCGAGAATACTTTCTTAATATCAATTACATCAATATATTCATTTTTCACAACAAACAATAGTTAATATATTAATTAGTAACCCTGTGATAATAATTTTATAGTAACTTAAGGTTAATCTGTGAGAAAGTATATTCACCGTAAAAGGGGTAGTCATTTACAATACAGGAGTATTCCGTATGAGCTTTAATTCAGTCCACTACGATAATCCATTTGAGCAAACTTACGGTTTGCTTTACCGTTTTCAAGCCAACACATTATCATGGACGGCTAATTTCGGACGGTTTTGTTTGCTACGGGTCTTAACAGAGTATCCATTGTGTTCTCGTATAATATGTACGGTACGTGTGTATCGTGATAACAATAATAACAACACTAATAATAATACGGGTAAGCAAATTTAAGCGGCGCCGCGAGGGCTCGGACATCGTTGCAGCTTCAGCATTTAACAAAAGATACAGAAACGTATACAGGGCACGTGCTCTCCGGGAGGTACGTGGCAAAAACGGTGGTGATGTTTGTACAAGCCACGGGCCCATACGGTTACAGAGGACCAAATTTCACACGAATGGCATTTAAAACTAACATTGCACGAATACTAAGTCCGTTTTACCGTGTGACAGTCGTGTTGTATTGTTTGTAGATAAATTTCGCTTAAATTCTAAAACGAAATAAATATTGTTATGCATTAAAAAACAAGTTTCATATGAAATATGTATTATATGTGAGATGAAAATTTCATTTCCAAAAGATTAACAAATAAATAATCAATTTGACACATTATCCATATAAATCAATTTAAGGATTATTAAATAAATATNGTGTTGTATTGTTTGTAGATAAATTTCGCTTAAATTCTAAAACGAAATAAATATTGTTATGCATTAAAAAACAAGTTTCATATGAAATATGTATTATATGTATATAAAATTATAATTTTTATGGTTTAACATGTATAATACTTAAGTAATACAAAACGTAATTTATGCTTTAAAAAAATTCAAATCAATAAAATTGGTCAATAAAATAAAAAAATATCCATTTTCTATTGAAAAAATTATATTACTTCAATTTTTAAAAGTTTTACGGAACGTCTGACAATTTTTAGCATTTTTAACGTACGAATAAGGTAGGTGCACATAATAAAACTTATTTTGTATTAGACCTAAATAGACCTTACACTAAGCTACTTTATTATACACATCTACCATATTTAATAGTAAACAAATAAAAACGTACCAATAAATAGTCTCGTGTGAGTTACTTGCAGTTAGAGCAAAAAAATTACAAAATTTCCGTAAAAATTTGTAAATTATTTTCATATTACTATAACTTTCTTAAAAATGTATAGATCTAAACATAGTTTTTATGAAAGATTTTAAATAGTGTCTTTATGATTTAAAAAAAAAAAGAAATCAATTCTTAGTAAACTAAGTAAAATTCACTAATAAATAGATAAATAGGTATTAATTCTAATTGTTTCCTATTACTTTTTCTGTGTAATAAAATTCCTAAAACAAATAGACCAGTTCGCATCAAAGCGTTTTATGATGTTTATGTAAATCACAGTCATATACTGTATACTGAAGTTTACTATCTTAAATTCCATCGATGCGTACCAAAAAAATTATTTTCGTCTTTAATAGTGATGAAAAAATATTCTCAATAGAATTATTGTCTCGGTAACGGAAATATTCTTTTGCAGACTATTAAAGGAGAATATATACATTAATAAAAAATAGAAGTATATATTTAAAAGTAATATTTAAAAATATTTAAACGAACTTAAATTTATATGAACTAATAAATATTTATTGAAAAATTATGATGGAAAAAAATCATCTGTTTCAAAAATTCTCTAAAAAAATTTCAGTCAAATAATGTTATGAATTCTTAATGTTTCATTTGTTGTTCAATGACTTAAAACAATAACTTTTCCAAAATAAATACTTTAGTGTAGATACAACCAAAAATTCCAAGACAAAAAAATATGTGTATAACAATCGTAAACTGGGGTCAATTTGGCCGTCAAGTATAAATTTAGTTAGTTATAAATATAACTCTAAAGTGTTTTTAAACTTGAAAACATAAAAATGGATATTTGGTTAACTATTATTCAAAGTAGACTATATCTTTAATTTCGTTAGACTAAATTATCTGAAGTTAAGTAGATAAATTTGAAAGTAACCAATTTATTACTTGTTAGCCAATTCAGGACCATTTCATAATAATGTAAAATATAATAAAAATAAATAAAAAAGAATTTTATCAAAAACGTTCTCGTGAATATTCCCGAAAAAGATTGATGCAGTAATTTTAAGTCACACTAGTTCAAAAACAATAATATTTCAGAATTGATATTTACAATAATGTTAATTAAAATATTCCATTAAAAATCTACAGTTTTTTATTTAATTTTACTCAGACAAAAATTAATACAGCTATATCATTTAATTTTTTTAAAACTAATATGACATAGTGGTGTTAAAATTTGTTTTATAAAACTTTATACCCCAATAATTACTTCCTAATTGATTAAATGCACATTACACATAAAATCGTAAACGATTATAATATATGTGGTATACTATAGATACATTTATTTAATGAAATGTGCGCATTGCTAAGTTAAAAATAATAAATCAACGTTTATTATTATTGTTAGAACGTTATACAAAATAACGTGCAGATTTAATAGTCAGCAAAAGCCCAGAATAGGCGCATAGGAGTAGGTATTTGTTTGTACTCACACACAAAAAAGAGATGAACATTTTATGTTAACGTTTTTTATCTCTTCGGATTTTTCACCCTATACAACAATATTTAAATTAAACCAATACATTTTTGCTATAAAGTTACCGTTGACAATCAGATTTTTTTCAAATACCCTACATACTTAACTCGTTGAACATTTTTTTTATAACAATTTATATAATCGTATAAATAAAAATGTTAATCTATAATTTTGCAAAGGATTTCTTTGTTTAATTAAAAACGTTAAATTTTTTTTTAATAACAGCTTCAAATAATTTAATAATTAAAATTATTCGATATTACTTGGAAAAAAATTAGTATAATAAACATGTCAATGTATGTAAGAAAAATATTTTAAAAACAAACAATACATTTTTTTATCGATTGTTCTCTATAACATTTGAATTATTTTAAAACTAATAATTTTATAGTAATTCAAAAGCATAATAAAAAA